CGAGGAACGAAAGAAGCACGTCGGACAGGGCCGATGCGTCTAATCGATGGGCGGCACGATCCTCGACACCTGATGGACGCATCAAAGGACACGCCAGGCATTCAGGGCTAGGCCAGGTCTGGACTTCAATGCACCCAGTCAGGATTTGTCGCTATCGTGGGGAAAGACCGCTTGACAGTGCATGGAATGCACCGGTACGAGCCTGTCAGTGAATGCATGTGACATCACGAAACGGAAACGCTGTCCTGCTGGTAAAATCAAACTGGCTGCAACACGGGTAAAGACCACAGCGCGGTAGCCGTTTGGCGTTACTAACACAAGGGCAGCTATTGTTTTGCAAACGAAAAGAGAGAGAGAGAGAGAGAGAGAGAGAGAGAGAGAGAGAGAGAGGGAGAGAGAGAGAGAGAGAGAGAGAGAGAGAGAGAGAGAGAGAGAGAGAGAGAGAGGAGAGAGAGAGAGAGAGAGAGAGAGAGAGAGAGAGAGAGAGAGAGAGAGAGAGAGATCATGATGCATCACTGGTCTGCCGTCCACCTCCTTCACTTGTAGATACACTCTCTGTCCTGTCAGCTATGAAGGAGGTCCACAACTTGTGGCGTCCTTGGCGTGACTTCCCCTTCCACAGCGGAGCACATTGCACAGCAGACGTTCTGTGCATTAGTGGTTAAAGGCATTAAAATAAAGACCGTCCGTAGATAAGCGGATGAGAGTTGCGAAACACTGAAGGCGAGGACCGAATGTTCTGCCCAAATATCAGTGCACTGATGCACCTTCCGCGTGATTTGGTCGGCAAATGACCTCAGCACGCCTGAGAGTCTACCGAAGCCCAGAAGCTGCTTTGGCCCTGAGGTGATTATTTTTGAAGGGCACGAGTCAGTGCACATGTCAGCTGTTTACATGACCAGTCGGTGAGTTAATACCCATGTCTGTCAGCACTCGCGACTCGGAGATCCGGCCAAAGCTCTCGACAGTAAGTTTCAACGAAGCGAAGGAGCCTCTGTGTATAGCACGCCTGACCAGTCGCCTAGGTGTCTGTGGTCCCTCGCCATTCAGTCGCCCAGGTGTCTACCGCCGCTTACCGCTCAGTCGATAAATCGCGCTGGTGGCTGCCAGGTCGCAGGTGTTGCAACAACACTGGCGACCGGCCGTAGAGCTCTCCAACTGTATCAGCTCTCCGGCCGTAGAGCGATGGAATTATGGGACCTACGATGCACATTTTGCGATAAGAAATTCGTGTTACTCATAGTTAAAAACGATGTTCCGAAATTCCCGGCGTCCAGTAGTACCCGTTGTCGACACATCCCAATCTCTGCGGAGGAGTTTATTAAGTTCTCAAAACAGAGGAGATAGTCAAGGCGGAGGAGTTCATCAAGTTCTCAAGCAGTGATGATGGCGAAAAACATTAAGATAGAGACCGTCCGTGGATAAGCGGATGAGAGTTTGCAAAACCCTGAAGCAATAGAAAGCTCTCCGGTGGTGGAGCGATGGAATTCAGGGACCCACAAACATTGTGCATTTTACGGTTAGAAATTGGTACTACTCATAGCTAACAAGTTACGCTAAATTTCAGGCATCCAGTATTACCTCTTGCCTGATGCATCCTAATCTCTGCGAAGCGGCTCAATTCATTAACGCAGAAAAGGTGGTAAATGCAAGTCAGGCTACTACCGCACCCTTCATTGTGTCGACTGATTTAACCAATGTTTTATCACGTTATTTGTCATGGGTGGGCGTCATCTCATAAGCTGGCCCCTGAAGAATGTTATCAGATTATCTACAAGCAATAACGCTTACAAACATAATTAGTTTGGAATCTTTCCTTTATTAAGTTTTCGCTCATCCCTTCACTCGCCCCTTGTTCACATCAATGAAACGACCTTAGCTGGCTCACAGAGCACCAGCCTCGCACGTAATGCCGATCGTCTTCCAGTCGTTTCATTCGCCAGTGCCCAACTCCGTGACAGGCGTCAAGTATGACCGTCCGGACGCTTCCCGCAGACTATGACGGGTTTGACGACGGGACAACAAGAAAACGCCCGATCTCCCTGTGGTGAAGCACACGATTCGCCACGCTTTGACCATCAGCGAACAGAAATCCATAAAATCCCCTGAATATGCCGTTCTCAAAACAACTTAACGACGATGGTGCTTTGTGCATCGCTTAAGTCTACAGAGACGGGGCGTAAAAGTGGAAGCGTTCTAGTTTTCTGTTGTTCGTGTTTGGAGGGCGGGACGTGGGGAGAGCTTATTTTTAGAATAAAAATGTTTTGTTTGCTTGGATGAATGTCATTACAAATTTGTTGTGTATATCTACTCCTTTAAACGTATAGCGGTTTCCGAATCACTATCCTTTTGGGTTTTACTGTGGAAAGTTGCAGGCACATCTCATTTTTCTTCTTCTTTTTTGCCGATTTTTCCCCTTACGCTCCAATAATCCTGCAAAGATGAAGCTTTATTATAAGCTCATGAGGGCAAGTATGACACAGGGATACTTACATTGTAATGTCATTTCTGTTCATAGCATTACGGCATCAAATTTAGGGTGCATATTTGGGGGGGGGGCATATTAGGGTGCAATGCATATTGATTGCCACTAAAAATGTGTCGGAAGATGTAGCATACAGTAGCCATTTTCACGATGAAATGGTGTATTGAAAAGCTGTAAAATGTTTTTTTTTTCAAAGTCTTATTATTTACTATACACTCTCACAAGTAAAATGTGGTTTTCATGCGATTCCATTAGCATGCATTAGGTAGACCACACGTATCCAACCAAGCACAAGTCTGTTTTATCAAATGAAACCCTTTACAGGCATTTCTTCAGCCCATGCATTTAGTTCACCAAATTCTACGAAAATACTAGGCCTGGCAATCAGCGATATGCATCGGGCGAGGGTGTTGGATGCCGGTTGCCCCAATCTTGTGGAAGGGACTAAGCGGCCGACCAAAATCCGTTGAACCCCATGCCCCGAGCTTATAGCACCGATCGACACCAAACCTCCACCATTCGATGCCGCTTGGTCGATAACCCTGTCCAGAGTATGGTAAACTTGAGTCACGTCAAATGCCGCCAAAAATACTCCAAACTGGAAAAATTAAGTCGCAGACAACCCCATGCTCCAAGCCTATGGCACCCATCAACATCGAAAGCCTTCACCAATCGATGCAGCATAGTCGGTATCCTATCCTTGGCAGAATATGGCGACTGGTTTAGGTCAAAAGTCACTGAAAACGCTCAAAATCACCCAAATTGGCTGCAGACAACCAATGCGCCGAGCCCATGGGACCAATCAGCATAACACCTCCACCAATCGGAGCGCAATAGTCAATATCCTATGCTTTTTAGAACAGTGCTGTTGTTTACATCGATGGCGTGTGAAGCAAGGCGGGGTTTAAGGATCATTGTGCTCAAGGATCATTCATCTTGAATCATGTTAAGTTCAGCAAGAACTGTTAGCTCAGTAAGAACTGTAAGCAGCATCTGTGTGTGCTGAAGTAAGTTCTACATAGTAATGAACAAGGCCGTGTCGTCATTATCGCTATTGGAACTTTACGACGCACTCTGCTGCTGAGGCTATATAGCGTCGCCTGCCTCTCAAGCGGGCAAGAGGGGCGGGCACCGTGGGGAATTGAATCCTGAACCCCTTGTTTCCCAGACGTGCGGTGGATACTGCAGATGCGTTAACCACACCACTGTCGGCACCCTGAGGCCAGGGACGCTACGATGATACAGGAGTTTGTTTTGTCAGGTCTGTGTAAGAGATGCCACCAAATGTTTTTAATAAGTTTTGAAAGGTTTCGGCGGATAAGAATCTGGCGCTGTACTGTCCATAAAAGCATGATCTGGCTTGCAGCCAGCTAACCGCAATTTTATTTAATTAAAGGTCTGTACAAATATGTCTTAATCTCTGCGAAGCATCTTAAGCTGATAACCGTTGATTTAAGATGGTTGGCTAGAAAATTAAGGGTGAAAAGCTTTTAAAAGCTTTCAAAAACCTTACACCGTGCCTATTCATGAAAACGGCTAATACTTAATTCCTTTTTTTGTATTATGCATCTTTGTTCTGTCTCGCCCTTTAATGTTGTTATATCCAGGCAAAGTTTCGGACCAGCAGCCTAAATTTAGTTTTATCTTAAACGAGGCCGACAATGCAACCCTTCTCATAGCGGGGCCAAGGTTTTGCGCGGAGGACTGACTGGGCCCGTATTACCGCGCTAGATGTTCTAAAAAGACGCGCGGTGCAGCTTGCCGCGCGGGACCTCACCAGACGGCAACTCCGCCCTGAGGCGTTCTCAGCTGCTGTCCCTGTTGGGCAGCAGCGCCGCCCCATCGGTCCGCAGGCACGCTACGCGCAGCCTTTCCGGAGAACGAGGGCACAAACATCTCAGTTGCTCAGGGTTTATCGAGATCGAAAAGATGTTGGTTGAAATGATAAATTTTCTGTTCCTTCTGGGAAATCGATGATGTGATATCTCAGGCAGACTACGCGTGGGGTTGATTCAATAACCAAAACATACTTCTCATGATGTTTTCGTTGGAGGCCAGGTGATTCAGTCTGTCCGTGTTTAGTAATATGATTTTCATATTCTGAATAAGTACGAAGTAACTGTCTTTGTTACCTCATACTGATTCATACCTTTCATGTTTCACTTAACAGTTGGATGAACTGTTCTGTTACGTAATTCTGCAACGACCAAAGGCCACGTGTGGGAACACAATACCACTGGGTCCAGGAACAATGACAGACGCATCAACCCATTTGTCAGCACGCATTTCTCTGTATAGCGTGATTAGTGGATGATTGGACCTGGAGATAATCGAGCCGGATTCTTAACGAAATAAGGCATTAAGCTATCCAGAAACTCACGCTGATTTCATTCATGCTTGCACTGATGGATGCGCGCACACATTGAGTAAACCACGGTGCCGGCGGCTCACTGCTTTGTCGGTCACAGGATTGCCAACGTCACGACCAAACGATTATAGAGGCGGACATCCTCACCGACATTTCCGACACCGACGACGCCAATGGGCGTCTCGGCGGAGACGGAGGTGAGCTGCCGGCGGGGCGCCACCGTCAGCGCGCGGCGCGCCAGCGTCGGCACCGACAGAGCACGGCACGCGCGCACCAGAGCCATGACTTGGGCGGCGAGAGGGACTGCGGACGACCCGGCCTGCGCAGCGTGCTTGAACTCTGGTAACGCTCTGCTGTCACCGGGTGGGGGCCCTCTGTGCCTGCTTCCCCGCGGTTCGTCCGCCCAGGGCCAAACACGCGCCGAAAGCCAGTGCCCCGACACGTGGGTGCGATAAACACATGCCTGGCTGGGTTGGCCGCCGCACGGACCAAACGCTGTCAATCGATAAAGATATCACCAAAAGGTTCACGCAAGTACATGCGGGCTTGCTCCGTTAAGCGACGGAGCTTCTATGGACGATTCGTGTTTGTATTGTTCTGCGATAATTCAACGCCATTCATGGCATTCCCTGGCCGACCCCTGGCCCCTGGCTCCTGGGATGCCTGCCGAGGACAGGGTGTGTTGTACTGGCTACCAGGGACGAAGGCGGGTCGTGGGAAACAAACTTAGCCCATGTGTTTGTTTTTCGTGCAGCATCATGGGATTATCGCTTGCAACTTTCAAAGATATCGGTGGGCGATAGCCCACACCACTCTCGCCCTCTTTATACGCATTTGCATGCTTGGAGGTGGCTATTACAAATGCCCGAAGAACCCCATTTCGTTTGTGTCAAGAAGCGATCGTAAGCCAATGAAGATAGCATTAAATCGTACCTGAGGTAGTCGTTGCCACAGCACTTGCCGGCTCGCGTCAGCTGGGCATACGTCGAAGCTGATGAGGCATAAGAAAGTGGTGCAAAGTAATGATTAGGAACCATCATTTGAGGCATTCTTCTGCGATGAACGCGCGATCTGCTTACTTAGACAAAGTCAGCGATTGTTCAGCTTTTAAATTCTGCTTTCCAGATATTCACTGCGGTTGGAGTGCTATGCTACGAGCGTTACGCGCTCAAAAAGTGCAAGAAAACAGCACTTCATACCACTGCAAATGTCAAATCTACTTGATTTCACCACTGCTACCAGTCAATGTTACTGCAATGTGTCTGTGTTACATAGTATCATATGTCTATATTCAGACTTTTGAATGGCTTCAAAACACACCCCGAGTAGCCAATGGGAGTGCAGTTTGCCGCGGCGGTGAGCTTCGCTGAAAAAATTACTGCATTTATATGGCCCTATTATCGCACCTGTTGCAATTTATGCGTAACCCAATGCATTTATTTTATCTGGTATTTGTCGAAGCAAGGAGTTCGAATAATGCATTTGATGGCTACTACGGTTCATTTTTCTCGCTGCAACGAACGAACGAACGAACGAATGAATGAATGGATGGCGGCTGCCAGACGCAGGCAACATGCGGCGCGCGCGCGTTCCGTCGCATTGTTTAAAATACTGGTCACCAGCGGCTGGGCGACCAACCGGTGGCGTCTTGATTGCGCGAAAATGTGAAACTGGAACTCTTTAGGTAAATATTACGCATGAACGTGACAGTGCGCAGACTGACGAATAAAATCACGGTGAATACAGGCAATGAATCAATGCAGCCGATGGTGTAGATTTCGCCACGATCCTGGCTAGTTTCGGCAACAGCGTGATGTACTCGGCACCGACAGTTCCGACCTGTCGAAACGCCGACAGTTCCGACCTGTCGAAACTCTGACATTTCCGACCCGTCCGATGGCTATCGGCACAACCGTCCGCCGCACAAACTCGTATTGGTCACATGAATTGACGATTGTACGTCGATCGACGTTTTGAAATTGGATTAGCACCTCTACATGTTCTAGCTGCTAAGCTATGGCAAAAAACATGTAAGCGGCCAAAAACCGGGCAGATCCATCTTGGCCGTGTCTGTGCGCGTGACATAAAACACGTACTACTGCAAATATCACGCCAGGCGATTCCCCGTTCAGTTATTCACCTAAGCGTGTTTATCGCTCCAACCACGTGTTGCCGAGATCTGGCACGGTTTCTAACAGTTGCTAGCCGACTTTGGCATCGGTCCCATTTTCGGTGCGCCCGGACAAAACCGATGGGCTTACAACGACCCTTCCGCCACGTGCCACGCCCGAACCCCGGCCAAGCCGCTATAGGAGCAACCACTCTATATCAAGACAGGTTTTGCCAATCGGGCGTAGCCGGGGAGTGGGTCGAGTTGCCTCGATGATTAATGACACTTTGACTTGACTTTACTTTATTTGGTTTGAGGCGTTTCGGGCCGTTCGCACCATTTCGCGCCTTTGGGAGGGTTCTTTCAAATCAATCTTGAGATGTGATTGAAGAAAGAAATAGCACAATGAAGGTGATAACCCGTCACAGTCCTTGAAGCATATCAGCACGTCTAAGAAAATTGAACAAAAGACAAGAAGATGTTGATGGTCATTACCTAAGATAACTTTTTACGGCAACGCAACGTTTTGGTGACGACAATATGCTTCTTATGCCTTTCGCTGCTGTTGAAACTAGCCACATTTAAACAATACATGCTTAAACAAAGCACATTATCAGTTTTGATGAGCTCATTTCTTATCATTTTTGAACACATTGAAACAAAATATGTTTAAATAAAAGGGGACGATGACACGGTTGGCAGAGGGGACGAGGGTGTTTTAAATAAGTATGTGAAAGATTTGTGTGTCCGATTCGAAGACGTGCTAATACTTTTCTTCTAAACAGTCTGCATGGTTGACTGATGGCCAATTTCTGGTATTGTGTCATGAAATGTCATTTCATTGTCATGTCATTTTGTGAGTCATACGTGTTACAGGGTAGCGCACACCCGGTGTGGTTTTCAGCCCCCGAGCCAATGGTATAAATAAAGCGACAGTGCGGATTCTTTGCGATCATGGGATTGAATTTTTGTTGTACGTGGTTGTTGTCACGGTGCGTTTAGTCAACAAAAAGAAATAGAGCTTTTCGAGGTGACAGCTGCCAGTGGGTACTACAAAATCAGGCGACACGTGGGCTCGCTTAGGACATTATTTAAACTATGGCAAAAAAGCACGATGTCTTGAGACGCTATTGTGAGGTCCAAACGACGTTCCGCCGTCCCAAGTATGCCTGGTGAATTCGTGGCAATATATGTGAGGAGGTAAATGCTGGGTGACTGGCATTTTGTCCTATCTGCGTGACGCAACTTATGTGTAGCGTACTCAATACGTCGGAGGGCTAGAGGCATAATGAAAACATCTGCTTCAGGCATTGACCTGGGAACAACCGGCCGGTCGCCGCGCCAATGGCAGTAGACTGTCTAGACTTGTATAGGTCAATGGCTTCAGGTGCCAAAATTGATGTGCGCAGTGTTCCTTGTGTGATCCGCAAGAACATATTTTGCATAACAATAAGGGCCTTGCGGTTTGGGACTTCGCTGTTTTCAGCGCTCGATAGTGCGGTTTCGAACTAGCTGGACGGGCATTGACAAGTTTTCAATGCAACGTAACGTGTCAGGTGAGGACGAAAAAGAAGTATAATATGCATCGTTCACGTGGTGCACAGGAGGACTCGGGGACCTTTTTCATTTGAATCGGACTCCTTTCGTAAAAATTCTAATAAATAAGTAACCTTGAGGGCCATCATCAGCTGACGTACGACGCAGGCGATCCGGAGAGCTGCGCCAGGTTCACTTGCCACCTTGTCAGTTTCTGCAGGCGATGGATACGGCCGGCAATTTGAGGTATGTTCAGCTTCAGACGTATTGAATTTCAGTACATTTTTGATTGGTGTGACGAGTGCCTGTTTTGCAAAATTCAAAAGCGGATGTTCACAAAATAGGAGCTGCGATCCAGCTAGCATGTGCTCTAGATAACACCCATGCACCTGAAAAAACAAGGGATGGACAGTGATAGTCGGCCATCACATTATTCAACATGCTAGTTGCATTAAAGCTGCTTTCATAAAGGTCATTGTCTTTTGCAGTATGTGCAATGCTTATGTCTTTCATAAGCACTGCTTACTGTGATTGAATATAATGGAAAACCCGTGGAAATATAATATAAGAAGAGGGTTTGCAAAATGACAACATGGAAGGGAAATCCCACTCCTGGCAAGCCTACTATGCCGTCTCATACCTGTATTCTTAACCTGGATTTAACAGTGACCAAATGTTGTTGGGTATCTTAATTATGCTGCTTGAATTTGGATGAATTTGAGAAGGAACAACTCAAACCCATTTTCCCATTACTAGATGTCCTGGCAATGGGCCAAGTGCCAGACAGTTGACATGCTTCGAAACTGGCAGGTTCTCATCTCAACTGGTAATGGTCTACATAGTGAATTATTATTATGAATCATGCAAGCTTGTAGCTACAAGCTTCAAAGCTAGTGAAGCTACAAGTTGAAAAACCAGGGATATTGGATTTGATCCCCTGCAGTGCCTGTGTGTTCTGTCAGGGGGAGAGGCATCCATTTCCATATGGCATCAAGTGCTTTGTGCATCATGGTGCCACATTGAAAATAATGACATGACAAACATGAGATGGCACCAGCTAATACCATTCAGTGAGGTGTCACTTATTTGAGTACCTCAGGCTCCTGATGCATCTGGTCATGGATATGGTGCCTGCAGGTGTTTACAAAAGAACTTAACATGAATTCCAGAGCATTCTGAATGCATATGCACTATGTGAGAAATATTTGTGCATATTGGATAGGCTACATGGTATTCAGTAGGTCAAACATTTTGTTTCAATTCAAATGTCTATTCCAGGCTTCATCTTTCTTTGTCTTTTAAATATCTCCATAGAGATTACAAGCACCAGCATTTCTCATTTTAATGAGAAAGCAAGGACTATAATTTTGTTCTCCCTACTGATATGCACTGAAGTCTTGCAAAGCATGGATGGGGAAGAGGAAACATAACTGGTGAAAATGGAGGGTATATTGCACAAATGGACAAACTATTGGAATGGTAAGTAAGTATTTTGCAGACTTGTTACAGCAGAAATCATCTTATGATAATTATGCTGATGCATTACAGTTTTGTTTCCTCATGTATCTTCAATTTGAAAAATGTTATTGATTACTGTCCCACAGCCTACAGTGCATGCTGTCTCAGCTATTAATGGTGAATATACTGTTTTGTTTTGCTGACAGACAAGTCACAAATCCACAATTTAATACTTGCTTAATTTCCTGCATAATCCATCTTGCTCAGGTGCCTCAGACATGAGCTGTGGTGGGCATTTGTTGATAGCTCAAAACTTCTGGGGCACTCATCCAGAAGTGGATCAATATGCATGCAATAACAATGTAGTATTGCTCAGTCTCTTCATCAGCAGTGCATGTACGTGGTTACAGCTACAAGTGCTGATGACTCATGCTTTTCTGCCCTTCTGGTACAGGGTGGCAGCCACGTTGGTTCATCCTGGAAGATGGCATCCTGTCCTACTACCAGTCCAAGGAGGATGTCTCCAAGGGCAGCAAGGGCTCCATCAAGGTGTCCGTGTGCGACATCGGCGTGCACGCCACGGACAGCACGCGGCTCGACCTGACCATCCCGTCCGAGCAGCACTACTACCTGCGCGCCGGCTCGGCGCAGCAGCGCCAGCAGTGGCTGATCGCTCTGGGGTGCGCCAAGCAGGCCGCTGGCAAGGCCCGCACCGGTCGCCAGTCCTCAGGTACGGCTCAGCCGGCGGGCGCCGTGACCGGCGAGCGTAACCAGGGACGCGCTGACTCGCGAGTGCTGGTGATGCAATCGTTTGATGTGGTCGGATGTGCGGCCGTTTGGTGTGCTTAGATGGTGCAATCGTTTGGTATGACGGATGCCGACCTAGCGCGGTGGAAGGAGGCCAGGTGCGTGGTTGGTAGGATGGGAGGGCAGTGCCAAAATTTATCCAAAAATCTGTGAAGGTGAATATGAACTAAGTTTTTTTCGAAATCGCCGATAATTGGTGCAAATCTCGGCTTGGGTACCTGAGGCAATGGGTCGCTCCCTGCCCCCCTCCCACCCGTACACGATGGTTACATCCCGGGAGGAGGCATAGCGAATATATGGCTGACACTGTGCAGCACATATGCTAACAGTAAGGGATGTGAATTGACAAGACGAGGTCTCCCAACCCCCGATCCACGCTTGATGTGCGGCGTGTGTGTGTGTGTGGGGGGGGGGGGGGAAGGAGGGCACGGTAGTCGGCCCGTCCCGCGCTTTAGCCTGCCGCGCCCCACAGGCGACACCGGCACTGATAACGTGCGCACCAAGAAGTCCGAGCTGCGGCTGTACTGTGACCTGCTGATGCAGCAGGCGCACCAGGTGAAGACGGCGGCCTCCGACCCGGACGGACCCCAGCTGCAGGTCAGCACGGTCGGCCCGGGCCTCGGCGCTGTGTGACGGTCGCCCCCTCACGGAAGGCAGGCTCTTGCAGTAGCAGTCACACTCCTGGTGGCATCTGAACATGCCACGAACAGATACCGTTGTCGTGCCTGCAGTGGCGGTCACACTCCTAGTGGCCCCTGAACATGCCACGAACAGGTACCGTTGCCGTGCCTGCAGTAGCGGTTACACTCCTGGTGTCATCTGAACATGTCTCGAACAGATACCGTTGCCGTGCCTGCAGGGGCGGTCACACTCCTGGTGGCATCTGAGCATGCCACGAACAGATACCGTTGCCGTGCATTGAGGAAGCCGGTCAAAAGGGAACCTACTGAAATCCAGCTAGCTCAAAATTTCGGGGCTGGACTGCTGGATAGATGTGATAGATATGACAGAAAACTCGTTGTAAGAGACCTTGCGGCTGGCACGTCGGATGCCACCTCGAAGATCAACAAATACTCTGCACCACAAATTTGCGGCCTGTGACGGGCTTTCGCCCGCCGCACGGAAGACTGGCGTGTGCGGCAGCCAGCTGACGCCGACCCCGGCGCGTTTCAGCAACTGGAGGAGGCCACCTCGCTGCTGGGCCCCACGTGCGACACGTTCATACGCACGCTGGATGAGTGCATGGTGCTGATCGCGCGTGCCACGGCCGGCTCCCCGCCGCCCCACCTTACCGATCTGGGCATGCCCCTGCACGCTGCCCAGCAGAAGCGGGTATGTGCCGACTCCTGCCTTAGCGGCGGGGAGCGCGCTCCTGACGCGTGGTCTCTGGCTCGTAAGGCGGGCAGAGTTGATGGTTCCGATCGTCACCACACGAGCTCTTACATCACACGAGCCAGGCCCAATTTCCGTTGATGTACCTAAATGCGCTTCGAATATGTCTCGAAAGTCATCAAAACATCATTTTTTGGCGGGTCCTGTCATGCTGTAGGGCTGGTGTCGTCAAACCGCGAGGCCGGTCTGAACTTGAGATAGCATTGGATGGAACTCTAATATGCCGCCACCTTTTTCCAGGAGAAGCGGGCCTCCACGTCTTCCAACGACTACTCGCGTTCTAACTCTGTGGGCAGTTAATGGATGCGTCGCAACGGACGCCTTGTGTCTGGTCCGCACTCCCGACTACCGGCAGCACGCGGGGCCACCGAACTCACTTGTCACAGACCGCACTTATTCACCTGCGGGTCAAGTGGTGTGTCTGGACTGACAAGATTCTAGGAAGCGAGCGTTCCACCCCGGCCGAATGGGTGTGGCGCTACACGTGTCGTTCTCGCGGTGAAGTATAAAATGTGCAATGGCGGCCGGGTCACTGGTTCACGTGCTCCGTTGTGTGTGTGAGATCTCAGTTCGCCTGTGTTCCTTGATCACACCGCACGTTTGATTGATAACTGTTCAGTTTACTGTTGGTAACAGAGTCTATTTTATATACATTGGCGCTTGTGATATCGTGCTTGCGCTGCCGTGCTCCAGTGTCCCTGGGCAACATAATCGGCTTCGATCGGACTATGTATGCTAGGCAACGGGTCGAAATAGAGGTATGCAGACGCTTGTCGTTGGGTCAACAGGTACGAATAGATGTAACGCACGAAATACCCGCAAATGCGCCACGACAGTGGACCCAAAAACGTGTGGTAGGCGTGGCTTTGTGACGTCTTTTGTCCGTCAATCCCAAGTTTTACACCACACGCTTTAACAAAAAAGGTATTCTGGGCTGCGACTTCACATATAATCCCGCGCACAGCACTCAGGGAACATTTAGCCGCATCTTAACGCCGTCAAAACACCCAATGCCTGAAGGCACCGCGGGGCCCTGGGATCGGTCACGCCTGGGAAGGCGGTGCGCCGCCGCGCTTAGCGCGGTTCAGGCCCGAAGCATGGCCTTCCTGTCGTCATGTTCTGGCCGCGGTGCCGCAATCTGCCTCGCGAGGCCGGAGGTTAGCACGCGCGCATCAAACTCCCTGTCTGGTCGGAGTCCGTCTCTCCGGCCGTGGGAGGCTGACCGTCTTGCTAAGCTCGCACTGCACGGCAGCTCTGGATAGCCCCGGCTGACATGGGTTTTCACCACGCCGCGACCGCGCTCTGCGGACGCCCGCCGCGGGACCGTTCCTCCGCGCGGCGCTTCGCCCGCCGGGCCCGGCAGCGGCGACAGCACACACGCGCTCGGCTCGACTCGCCTGTTTCACATGCATGTGTACAGTACATTGACAATCTGTGCGTAAAACACGAACAAAGCACGGGCCGTGCAGGCGGGATGCGCCCCACGCCACGCAGCCCACTCCGGGTATGCATCAAGAGGGCGCGTCGCAGCCATGCGCGCCATCCAGCGCGTGGTGCCGCCCCTAAGCCGAGATCGGGGAGAGAAAACGTGCTTCATGAGTAACGTGGACATGTGTGTGAGAACCGAGCCAATGCCCTGTCTCGGGTGCCACTTATCGCAAGGCTCCCGTGGCGCGGCGGCGCCCGACACCCTGAGGCGGGCGCGCCCTGAGAGGAGAGAGTGCGGCGCTGCGAGAGGTCACATGAAAACACGGCCGAGCGGCCCGGAAAACTGAGCGACCTCCACAGCTGCGAAGGCGCGGGCGGTGCGAGGGACGACACGTAGACGCGCAACATACCAGCTATCGCTACACGACTCGAGTATCACAACCTTACGGGGCGGGGCCGACCAAGCACAGGGCAGAGCACCAGCCGTGGTCAGCCCGCTTACGTCACTGTCGGGCAGCGGCCGGCGGCGTCCGGCAGCATGGCGGCGCAGCGCTGTGCGGTCTGACCTAAAACGGCGAGAGAAGGATCCCGACACCGACTAACTCGATGTTCATCGCTTTCAGCCAACAATGGCCTTGGTCACCCACCGCAGGGCTGGGGTCAGGTCGGCGTGACTCTGACTTGATGCCGCTCGCGGCCCCATCCGTGAACACGGAGACAATAGTCACAACATAACCGCGTGACCACACGGACACCATGGTGGCGACTGCGTGGCCGGCGCCAGCACGGCCAACAATCCGCCGAACGCTCCCCGATATCACACCACCGGCGGCAGCCGGGGCCGCGGAAGACCAGCACGCACCGGACCGTCACCTGCCCCCCCGCGCCCCCCCCCCCCCCCTGCCGCCGCCACCGGCGGTGGACGAGCGGTCTCTGCGGCCGGGCTGGGTGACGCGGCGCCACCGGCCCGGCACGGAGCACGGAAACACCGCCAGTCACGCGGGCGCGGTCGTCGGCGGGCCCAGCCGGCGCCGAGCCGGTCACACCGGCGCAGCGCCGGCCCCCGGGCCAGGCGGCCAGGCGCAGACGTCCGCCTCACAGGCTCGTCCAGGCTGGACTCTGCAACGACAGGGGTTACCAATGACGTCACAGGCGGCCGCGACGCTGCCTGACGGGTTCAAGCCTAACGCATCCAACGGAAACGTCCGTGGTCCAATATATGATACATTCGATTACACGGAACACCTGGAGCGAGAGCGGGCGAGCCGTTTGAAACTCCGCAAAATTAAATAAAGCTAAATCATTCAAGTGAATTTTCGTGCCGTCTCCCAGCATGCTCGTGGGTGTGGCGAGACCCGGAGTATGGATTGGACGAACACCCAGCTAACTCTGTACACTAACAACACTAATGCCGAAAAAGACCAGAAAAGGACCTGTGGATAGCAGGGAGTAAAACGCATATCCGCACAACTTCCGACGTCAAAGGCAACCCAGAAGGCCATGCGTTCTGCGCCCTGACCCGCCACCTAGCCCCCTTGACCACGGCCCGCCGACCTGACCTGAGCCGGGCCGATGCTCACACGGAGTACATGTGTCCGACGGCCTTGCCGTGCAGCGGCGGCCGCGTGAACGGCGAGAACCAGGAGGCTGAGAACCTGCCGAACACCGTCTGCAGGCTCTTCCAGCGCGATTGGCGCTCCCAGCGCACCTCCTCCTTCTTCAGCGTCTCGATGCCCTGCCGCGAGGATCGGTAGATGCGATAGAATGCAGCCCACGCTCGCTGGCGGCCGGCGCTGCCACGGCGCTGTCCGGGCAGGCGTTATCACGGACTGGTCACAGCTGCTGCGCTACATTCCTCGGGCTGTTACGCCGGACACGGGGGAGCTATCCCGTAAGTCGTCGACGCGCACCCAGCGGTTTCTGTCGACAGCACTGCGTGTTCCGACTTCCATGACCTACAATGTTTCTCTAAGATACTCCACGTTTCACGCAGCAACCTTTCGTGGAAACAACCAGGCACAGGCTGTCTGTCAGACAGTTCGTACCGTCTCGTCGGTCCAGATGGCCTGTATCTGTGAGCCGAGCATCACTAGCGTGAAGATGCCGAACAGCACGCCCTCGAAGATGAGGAAGAGCAGGAGCACGACGGTGGCGGGTGGCGTGTGAGCGCTGCACGTTCGCCACTCGTGGTGGAAACACGTCACGAACTGGTTGACAGCCAGCACCAGCGCGTGGGTAGAGATGGCTGCGATATACAGCTGCCGGGGCAGGCCAGGTCAGCGGCCGGCGGTCCAGGCGCGGCCACGCGCAATGTTCGCCAGCGCCCCCCAAGCACAGTATTTAGTACAAAACATAGCTCACACAACGTTATAGACTACACAGAGCGTTACATCAAGGCCAACAGAACAAGAACCTCCAGAACATACTGAGAACGGGTAACGCTGACGAGTGCCTAAAACGTCGAAGCATTAAAACACCAACCGTGAAAAGCACGAAGAACTTTTGGTTGTTCTCGCCGATGCAGTTGTTGACCCAGGGGCAGTGGTGGTCCATTTTACGGATGCACCGCTGGCAGATGGAGCAGTGGTGTGCCCGCTCCGGCTTAATGCTCCAGCACTTCGGGCACTGAAACACGCGCGGCGCCACGCTGGCGTCAGCGCGCGCGCGGTGCTGGCACTTGCATGCCGACAGAGCAAACTTGCGGAATACCGACAAAGTACACTGAGTCGTCAATAGTGCACGACATGTTCTGTGAGCCGGCAGTTGCTTTCGCCTCCTTCCGACGAGCTCTGAACACCGCTGGAGACACCATTACCACACCAAGACCACCAGATTTGTGACCGCAGCCGCCGCCGACAAACCGTATACCACGCAGAGGCAGCTAACAGGACTGCTACATCGTCACGGATAAGCAGCACAACGAAGACCAGCAGCGACAGCTATGATCCAGATTATCCCACCTCAATCGGACCACATACCGCCGGATACTACATACCACTTACGCGTACCAGGTAGACGGGTTCGCACGGCAAACGTCCGTCCTTCACAATGCCCACCATCACGCAGACGGCGGGAAGTCTCACCTTGTACACCACGCCACCCTCCTGCATAGTCACGCGCTGCATGGCCTCTCGCGTGGCGTTTCCGCGGGGTACCGCACCCTGCAAACGAATGGGTCAGACTCGAACGACACTCGGATCAAGCGCGGGTCACACAGTGGAACAACACGGGTCAAACTCAGTTCGTGCGAAGGTTGAGCAGCCTTCCGCACACAGACGGCGAGCAATTTCGGCCAGACTGCACTTTCGTGGGTGACGCACTTTGAGGAAAACGAGCGGCGACAAAGGCGAGTTGTGAGCAGACAAAAATCTGGAGGAGATAAGATGAGCAATGCTGATGAAGACATAACGACGGGACACGGACGAGTCCGCCACCACCACCCATGACGGGACACGGACGAGTCCGCCGCCACCCCACACGACGGGACACGGACGAGTCAGCCGCCACCAACACGACGGGATACGGACGAGTCCGCCACCACCACCCACGACGGGACACGGACGAGTCAGCCGCCACCCCACACGACGGGACACAGACGAGTCAGCCGCCACCAACACGACGAGACACGGACGAGTCCGCCACCACCCCGCACAACGAGACACGGACGAGTCCGCCGCCACCCCGCACAACGAGACACGGACGAGTCCGCCGCCACCCCACACGACAGGACACGTACGAGTCCACCACCACACACGGCGGGACACGGACGAGTCCGCCGCCACTCCGCACGGCGGAGTCCTCAGTCGTATCCCGAAGACAGACATCGGCAGCGTTGGACCGGACCGGGCCAGTCCGCTTGTCCGCTGCCGGTGGACACGTACACCCGGCCACCGCCCCGCGCCTGTCGCCGGCCGGCGGTGACGGGGCACCACCGCCGGCCGGCAGCAGCAGCGCCGGTCGTGCCCCGGCTGCCACCCACCGGGTCGGTGAGCATGGTGCGCAGGTGACTGGAGAGAGCCAGCACCGTCAGGCCGTTGTAGAGCAGCAGGTGGAGGGCGCGGCCCACCGAGTCAGGCCACGACAGCAGGATCACGCCCGTCACCACGTACTCGGCGTAGCCGATCAAAAACCACGTGACCAGCACACAGATGATGCCACAGATGTCACTGATGCACCAGCAGCGGCGGTTGCAGCAGCGGTTGTGGCCGATGCCTTGGTCCATGTATGGTGGCAGAGGGGCTGAGTTCATCATTGGAAGTGCATGTCGACCTGATGGCAGATGAAGGCATTGATGGTACAGAATGGCCTATACACAGCTTACAGCTTATTAATTAGGCATTTTCCACACTCAGTTTGATGGCCGTAACGTGGTTGACTGCTGGCAATATGGTCAGCTGGATGGTGTTATCAGGTGGTATCGGTGGCCCTAAAGTGGTGACTTGACGGTTCCTTGGAATGCAAATGTTAATTATACATATCATGGGACATTTTTTAATATATCATCAAATCTAGATGCTCATGAAAAATAAACAGACAGCCCATTTGTTGAACACAATGCATCTGACTGAGTGCTGCTGATGCCATGAGATTGCTAGTGACGTTATTCAAAATGCTGGAGTTCCATGGCCAGAACAGGCATACCATAACAAAAGCAAAAAGCTGTGGAGTAACAAAGTAACACATACATTTGTGTGTACCAATCCTACTGGATATATGGCACCTTGCAGCTTAATAAAACCTACCATCAATTTTCCAACATTTTCATAGGATAACAGCACCTGTGCAGGCCACACAGGAAGCCACTGAAGTTTATGGTGTTCACACAGAGGAGCAAAATGGAAAACTGGGCCTTGTTTGAATATCTCATATACTATGTTTAAATACATAATTGTTTATAAGACATAATCAATCAAAATCAGCTCACAACAGCCAGTAGCTAATGTGAGTACTCCTCTTGACACAGTTTATATCACTAGCTTGCTTGCCTTCATCAGTGGTAACTGAATCACAAGCTCTAATTTTGAGATTTTGAGATCAAGATGACTGCTCTGCCAGTTTGTGATAAGTCCAGCAGTTGTGCATGGCATGAAGCTAAATTACAACCATAATCAAAATCTAAAAATTGTTCAAAGCTGGGGCTGGAGCCAGGTGTAAAATATCACATTTACATCTCAACACTGAAGCACACCATTCCAGATGGCATATAGTTGAAGCTGGTGCTAGCAGTAATGGCTCAAAGCTGACACTGAAAATGAAAGACTTGGAAGAAAATTGCAACCTTGAGAAACTTACACTATGAGATAAATGAAGGCTGGCTTTATCACTGTGCCTAGTCCTGACATTGTGGGCATTAAGTACTCCATGGGTACATTATCCCTGGCCATTTTATGCACTTATATTATCAAAATACCAGGAAAACTGAACCATCACCACCTTAGCACATAGCTCAGCTTTATCACATGAATGTTATAACCGAACTTCATAGCATAGATTGTACAGGTAGGTACATGCCCCCGAGATCACACCTTTCACACAACGCATGCTCGGCATCACTTACGATCAAAAGGCATGCTGGACACGGACCATTGTGGTCACTTCGGGCTTGACCGTCAGGCGTCAGACCTTGGCGCAAAACGTAAAAAAGTATCCTACAGACAAGGGAAAACCGTGAAAAACCTCGACATAAGCCCTTCTACACCTAACCACCCACGTTACACGCCCACCCCACACGCGATGCTTCCCGCATTGACGAGCGAAATAGTTCCGGTTTCTTCAACTTTGTACTTTTTACTTTCCTTGCAAAGAGGAGCATCATGTCTGCTCCTAAGCCGTTCCTGCTATGCAAGCAGAAAATAACGAATCAGAGACCACGTATGGAAGTGGCAGCACAGCATACCAACCTTACTACGCTTCACTAAATGTGTGACAGTCAAGTTAGCATCAGATTCGTATTCACGTTCAAGGGACATCTTCGGAGCTCAGCGCGCCCTTTGTGTTGGCTGGAAAACCCACACACATAAAAAGTTTGACCTGATATCGATGAGCACGGTTCCTAAGGCCACTACGCCCTACTATCTGAGTTACGGGGCCAGGTGGTTATGGGGCCAGGTTTTAAGTCGTGTGGTCCGGTTGCAGGGCACGGTGTCATGTTGCAGTGTACGGGGTCAGGTTGCAGGTCACTCGGTCCAGTCGCAGGTCACGTGATCCGGTCGAAGGTCACGTAGTCCAGTTGCATGTCACGAGGTCCAGGTGCAGGTCGCATGGTCATGTTGCAGGCGACAGGGTCATGCTGCTCATCGCAGTCAGGTTGCAGGTCATGTGGTTGGGTTCCAGGTCACGGGACCATGTTGCACGTGACCGGGTTAGGTTGAAGGCACCGGAGTTCTACGCTTGGGTTTCCAGTCTGGGAGGTTAATTGGATCTCCCTTGTGCTCAAATAAAGGGGTCCTTCAAGAGCGGCGTAGCCAGGAGGTCATGGGAATTTAAGACTTCTGGGAGGTTCGAGCGCCATTTTTCACTACGACACTACTGAATACAATTCCGGAATCTAGTGATAAAGAGAAATATTTCGGTTGGAATTCTCATGACTATCACGGGCAGCGAGCGACGTGTAGAACCTACAGACATTATTTCGTGAGGAGGCTAACGGATAGCCGAGTGAACATGTTAGATGGTGCGCGTGGTTAAACAAATGTTGAGGGCACCAGGGCAAACCAACATCAAAAGCTCATTGATGTGCGGGATACTTTTAATGCACTCATTGGCGTTTGTGGGGTATGTAATCTGTTCTCAGTGCGTACGTACTGCCAGTGGGGTCAGGACTCGCGCTTAAACAATCTCCTCTCGCTGTCTCGAATCATGATAGCCCATCGCGTCGCAAATTATGGCTCTGTGGGCCCCTTTCCGCCAATGAGCGCACTATCAGCATGGTTTGAGCAAACAGAAGAAAATTGTTATCCCTCGAAATAAAGGGGTCATTAGGGCACTCCTTCGGGCTGGCCTCCAGCCAATGCCACTCTCCTGCTTGCGAAAAGTACCTTTATTTTGCATAGGTAGTTTTTCCCGATTTTTCCCCATGCATTTTCAACAACTCATGGCCCGAGTCCTCTCAAACCCGCTTCTGCACGGAAGCGAATGTAGCTTCCCCAGTGATATTTCGGGATGTGTCTTTTGAGCAATCCATAGCTTAATGACTATATGCGTGATCACTTGTGACATCTGGCTTCGTCTCACTTCGCATCGCCGCCCTCCCATGCTCCAAAAGCCGATAGTTCCTCGCACCTCAATCAAAGGGCCCGTAAGGCCCATATAAGCTCGTTATGAATCATTTTAAAATCTCCTCGCGACAATTTCATGGGAAAGGTTTGTAAGGCAGATGCTAAGTGAATGAAAGCACTGTAAATGCAAATTGAATGAATGCAACATGCATTAAATGACACTGAGTTTGGTGCGCGTTCGGTACGTGGTTGGCGAAACGTTATTAGCCGCCTCGTCCTCTTCACCTCGTATGCCACCACATATCCCTCATAATCCTATATAGCGTGTGCATCATATCCCTTGCGTCCTATCAGCCTCACCAGGTAAGGGCCCCCGTTGCCACCTAACCCATCCAAGACCTCTCCAAGCCGATCCAGCAAGCTCCTCACATACCATAGCAATTACATCGTCGCTTCCGCACGTGCATCTTGGGCCCACTCCCACGGCTTCCATTACTCGGCGCATCTGGGGCGCCACCGCTGTGCCACGGAGTGAGCGCCGGGCCTTGGGAACCAGGCCCGCCTCATCTGAGGACGGGAAACGTAGCCGCGCGACGATTCATTACACACGCCCCAACTGTGCATCATCGTATATTATGATATTTCTCTTGTTACACTTTAACTACATATAGTGGCTTAAATCAGCAGGTTTGTTCTACCGTAAAGCAAATGGACGGTGCGTCTTGACACCCACTGGCCGTGCAGAGTACCTGGATGTCGCACCTTGATCACATCCAATACGCCACTACACACATCGGTAGGCTGTTGGCCACGACATGTGCGACATGCACGTTCTAGTCCAAATGCAAGTCGCGCGATCTCACCAATGACACCACATTGCATTTTAATCCATCTCGGCCATATTTCTAAGCTCCCTCTTCACCCCGATCTCCATTTTCATCTTCGCCGTAATCGCACTCGATGGCCTTTGATCGGACGGCCGCTCTACATCAAACTTGCGCCATCTCGCCATCCTACACCGATAAGTCCATCATAATTTACCAATCGCCGCGTTCATCAATAGCACGCCGGCGGTAAAGCTGCACCCACGAACTAGCGATCCCAACAAGGCTTCGAAGTAAGCATGTGAAGCAGAATGTAGACTCACCGCAGGCGACAACGGTAGACGGTGTCCACCAGCACCACAGACACCATCGCCATACGATGGGTACACGCGGGCCCCCATGCCGTCACTGAGAACACCAATCGTCTACCCTTCGCCGTCTAACCGTGACCCTGACCTCTGCCCGCGACTATCGCCGACGACCCAGCTTGCGAACCACAGCCTACGGACAACGACCAATACTGCGCCGTGGTACGCATCGTTCAGCGCAGGATTGATGCAGATCTCAGACTGAAGTATTGTTTTTTTGGAGGGGCAGGCGGATGATAACACTTCAGTAAGGCAGACAGGTGGTTCAGTACGTCTCGGAGCGCCAAGATATCTCCTTCGTGGAAACAAAATACGCCGCTCATGGCTCGCCAAGCCTTCTCAAGCTCCACTGGTCGCAAAATGATCCATTCCGAACATAATGACACCGAGCTCAATAAATTACAGACAACAGAGATAAAGGTCGCGAGCTGACCCCAGACCGTGCTTGACATGCCACAGACTCCGTCCTACGCGGTAAATGTCCGTCCCCCATTTCTAATCTCTACCGCGCCGACGGCATTCAGTGCTCTATACTGCCCTCGCTGTCACTCCGGACAATCACGCTTTCCTCTGGGGACGTGGTCCGGTCGCTGGTCTCGCCGCTGCTGGTGGAGGCCAGCGACTGAAAGAAGAAGTCGTCCTTGGCGAGGGCGGCGTTCTCGGGGCGTGCGCATAGCTCTGCCGCCACGTCGATGTCGTCGTTGATGGCGCGGATCAGCTCGTCTGAAATGACGCCACCCGCCTTCGATGAAAATTCCGCTCGTTCAACCACACAAAAGCCAATTCGCACCACATCCATTTAACGTGTTGCCATAGATGGCGAAATCTTTGAAGGGTGACGGGTAGCAGCTTCAAATCGCAACCTTTGATTCGTTTCCCTCTATGCCGCGGCACATCGACAAGACAACCAGCTTCGATGCTTTCCCTGGAGTCCGCCCAACGCCGCGTATTCAAAATTCGAGATGTCCGACACGACGGGCTGTGCGATTGTTCAGGTAAGAGCCTGCTGTATCATGGAGAAGCACAGCCACGTCTCGACAGCATCCAGCGACGGACAGCCACGTGAGCTCGTGAGCATGACTTCGTGAGTGAGCGCGAACCCGCTAACAGCCACGTGAGCTCGTGAGCATGACTTCGTGAGTGAGCGCGAGCCCGTTAACAGCCACGTGAGCCCGTCGGCATGACTTCAGCGTGTCTCCAGTGGACGCCCTTCCCAGGACCGGGTTGTCCACGCACCGAGCGACTTGAAGTTCTTCTCGGGCCGAATGAACCCCACCATGCACACGCGCAGGGTCGAGCCGTAAAAGTCCCCCGTAAACTTGTGCATGATGTGCGTCTCCTGCGGGGCAAACGTCGGAAGGTCACTCTCCAAACCCGCTGTCACAGGCCGAAGGATCTCGGCACCAGGCTCCGTCACGCTGCCGGTTAGGGCATGCGTGTCACAGGTGCCCACAGCTTCAAAGTCTTCGCTGAGCAACTACTATGCGATAATGCATTATCGAGCTAGAAACAGCACTCTTTGTCTTTATCCGGTTAGCGTCCGCAGAATGTTTTTGTGTTGAGCACACTCACTGCACTGCCGGAGAAGTCCTTTCGGAGTCCTGGCAGCAAACATCGACAATAACCGGGCGCAGAATGATCGTGGCGGTCGAAGCGCCCCTAAACCCAAATCTCATCATCATCAAACATCAACAACACATCCAAATGGCCACCGGCAGTGACTGTGTGCATGCTATAATCACATACTTTCCGTCACCGTTCACATTAAAGACGACCTTAAAACCGCATTGGTAATCAATGAGCTGAACAGCGTCACTATTAACGTGGAAAAACACCACGATAAAGCCGGGCAGGAGCGGCCACCAAACGTGAGCTGACGTCTCCCAATATTTGACTGCAACGAATTTGCAGAGGGTTCCAGTCCGGTCCTTAAGCGTCCTGTCCGGCTAATCGACGGAAGTTTCAAGCAACTGCCACCCACCATGGACTTCTTCTCATTCTTGTAGAAGGGATTCCAGCCGATGCTCATGACCATGTTATGCACGGGCCCATCATCCACGCGGGCGTAGCCGAAGTAGACGCCGGCGCCGACGGACGACGGCAGGCCGTCCACCACGTTCTCTGGGAAGTTGGCTGCACAGCAGTCGCAGACAGTAAGTCACTGCACCATCCAGGCGGTTGGCTGCACCATGGCCGTCAAATGGCAACAGGCTATCTTTCTCAGATGGAGTCTCATTCGCGACGTCACTGTTACATATTTGCAGCATACATTGCTCAAAATTGCTTCTAACATTTCAGCAAGGGTAATGCTTTGGAGGCACTAGTCTTGTCGAGCATCATCTCCTGCAGCTTTTGCTGCTTGCAGAGCTCTGGAGCTGCAACTAATGTGCAAGGGTGCCTAGCTTTATCCACGACATTCAGCTAAACACAGCCTGGCCAGAGCCACTGAGTCTACCATATCAGCACATTTAAAGCTGCTGAGCCAACTATATCAATACAATTGCACCAATGCCTATGCTTTTTTGTCTTTTAGGGGCTTACATCTGCATTTGCAGAGCTAATGGCTCACTATGGCCAGTCATTCACATGCCTACCTGTTGGGATGCCGAGTTGTTTTGAGCCTCTTCCAAAACCTTTCACCACTTTTCCAGCAGCAAAGAAAGGCAGGCCTTTTATAGTCATCTTGGGTGTGGCTAAAATACTGCTGCTAGTTTATAATACTTCAGCTGCACAAAACCACCTGGAACAATCACAGCACATAGTTGACACATCAGTATTCAGATGTGCACCCTTCTTGTATGTATAGAAGCTAACAAACTGAGCCAAACACGGGCAGGGTGCAGTGTAGATGTCAGTAGTCTAGATGCTGGATGCTGTGATCTTAGACCAATTAATACCATCAAATGTTATGACAACAAACCAGCCCAAGGAAATAAGCATCTGCCTATCACAATGGACTGAAAAAGGAGCTACAATGTACATAAATGACTATGACAGCTTCCTGGTATGCCATCATCCTTCCCCATATCTTGTTAATAGAGCAGTTTTTTTTACACAGACAATGCATCCATATGCATTTTCCACTGTTTGTTAATGTGTCTGAAGCAGTGTAACATGACTATATTACAGAGTTATATCACATCCAATACATCTGTTGTGAAAATAAACATACTTGAAAATCATGCTCTTTTTAACTAGCCAACACCATTACTCCTGACTAGTTAGCAAAGGATTTGGGTAAACTAAATGGGCAAAAACCTTTGTAAATAAGAAAGTCAGAAAAGGATGAGCCCTATCATATGCTAAAAACCCCAAACAAAAATTCATAGACTATTTGCTATCTTATTAAACAATATGATCTTTATTCACACAAAATTTTTGGGAAGGGAACTTTGATGATAGCCCTGAAGCTATCACCTCTTTTCATATCAGCAAAAATAGACAGTGCTCCAGTTCTTGAAAGATATATGTCCAAACAATGATCTTGTGCCACCAATGTATGACCTGTGTAATCAGGCTCAGAAAAATTCAACATAACTGTATAACAGTGTATAGAAAACAAACATCATCATCATCAAACATCATTGTGGTTTGCTTGTGGTTTGACATCACCAATGATCACACATTTACACCTTTGTGGAGACTAAACATCACAGAATATCACCATTATCCATCCACGCCTAACAGTCTTATAAGCTAAGCAATGAGCTATATGGTCTGAGCTATAACTTAAGATGCAGCACAAATATCTAATTCAGGGCTGTGGTAATGTGTTGCATAACTGATAAACATGCACAGTAATACAAAAGTTGACAAGTCCAACTTTACAAGAAGGCAAAGCAGGATCTATCTCTATAATGGGAATGCTAATGCATTCTTGTTTGTTTACCACACTCTACTACCCTTCTCGCTCGCAGGCACAGCTGTGGACGCCGAATTCCACGAACATGGTTGATTAACACAGGCGCAGCCAAGGGGAGCCCCCTTAGCCCCGAATTATTCGTTTTTCGCCATACATAGCTCCCGATAGAAGTGATGATGGTCACTAACCAGAATCAATGAATAACCGGACAACTCAGTAAAACAAACTACCTTCTCTGCGAGCCTCCCTCCACGCGCCTGACCTCCCACCGAGCTGCTCGCGCACGAAGAACTTCCCGAACTCTTAGAACACTAACAAACAAATGGAGCTGTTGCGTCATCTTCGTAGTTTCCAGAAATCAAGAACCTTTAGAATTCCTGGCCTGGTCTGCCATCTAGCGGTCGATATAGATAGTGCAGCTTGGAGTTCTTCATGTCATCGTTCTCGGCCGAGGGTAGTGAATCAAGTTGAATTACAACACACACATTGCATTACGGTTTTGAGAGCTGAAGCGTGCCGATGATAACCATCATAATTATGTCGATTACTTGCAGGAGCACAGATGGTCGATGCCTGAAGGCCATGCCCCGGACCATGCATGGGCCGGAGCCGTTGGAGGCAGCCAAGGACTGGCTAAGGTGCTTTAGCATTGCGGGAATGGGAGGCCTTCAGTGACGCTGCTGGGTCTTGCCCTAGGCCTACCCGCAAAACGACTAATGCAAGGATTCCAGACGGCCCACATAGCGCTATATTGGGCGAGGACTGTCGTAGTGACTTTGAACTAATGTAGATTGCAGCCGGATTGCAGTCCGTATTCGTATGAATACACATTTGTTGCTGAGACTTTGGGATGAAGGCCTCCACCCATTACGCACTACATCGCAATCATGGTGCGCATGGACCCTCATGTTGCCTAGAATAGTTGCGTTGTTCACTCCCTCTGATAACGGAATTCTGTGCCCTGCAACAGCCCTGGACGGTTGGGGAGAACCCAGAAGACCCATCCCCAGGAGGCCTACGCTCACTGGACCTACGCTCACAAGACCTATGTGTCAATGTCCACTGTTATAACGTTTTTGTACCATTTTTATCAATGGGGACTCTCTCTCTCTCTCTCTCTCTCTCTCTCTCTCTCTCTCTCTCTCTCTCTCTCTCTCTCTCTCTCTCTCTCTCTCTCTCTCTCTCTCTCTCTCTCTCTCTCTCTCGCGCGCGCGCGCGCGCCTCTGTTCCGTTCCGTTTGTTCCGTTTCCGTTCGAAGCATGTCCCAGCCGTAAGCCCTGGTGATGTCGCTACGTGTACCATACCTCGTCCCCTTGGCCCCCATGAAGAACCAGTATGGATCTCACCAGCTCACCGGTTACCTCTTCAGCGCTGGTCAGTGCTGTTCAGTGGCGGCGGCCGGTGACGAGGCGACCGAAGGACACACGCTGCACGCGCTCCCCCGGTCTGGCGCGGTCGGGACAGCCAGTGGGCGTCACCACAGCCGCCTGCCGCATATAAGGCGGCGAGCAGCGTTCCTACGGCTGCGCGGTGCCCGCAGAGAGACCCACCGTTTCGAACGTGGAAGGTGATACACGGTCTCCGTAGGCAGCGGCGCCACAAAGAACACTGCTCTTATAGCACCTACCGAGAACGGCAGCCAACATTTGACTGTGCGGAAGGGGCCAAAACCTCTTGAGCCACTTATCTAAAAAAAAAAACGTAACGTGCGCTGAGTAACATCCGTTGGAGAAAAGCAAGCAGCAACACGCATTGGGTCCGTGTACGCAATTACGATTTATTTACGAAACCAATAAACATGAGGTTTCAGGCGGAAGTACAATTATGAGTACTCACTGTCGCTCGCGCACTCGCGTGCTCCGCAAAACAAGCTCAACACGAGCTGATAGCTGTTCCGCGTCAAAGTCCCGTTCCAGTGCCGGACACCCACTGTCGCCCCTGAAGCAAACTGCGTCTGTCGGCGCGGCCATCCGTTACAACTGTGTCAAGGGTACGACTCCGGGGCTGCTTACGTAACGCCCTGCGCGTTGCGTAGGCTTATTGGTGGGCTTCCGGTCCCCAAGGCAACCCGCGTGACAGCTGGCACGAGAGAGGCGTGCAAGGCGGGGTCGACGTCATTTGAAAAGGTGGGAAAAGATCAGCGTGCACACAATGAACTTGAAATCAAGCATCAGCTTATGGCGTCGCATAACAAACGGGCGTAAGGTACCTGTCATCCAGTGGTGGCGCCCCTGGTTGTGGGAGGGACTGCCATGCTTCTTGGAATCAACCACCGCGAGAAATGGCTTGATTTTCCAAAAACTGGTTGTTCCCCGCTCAGAAAGAAGAACGCCAGCGACAACTCGCCCCAATGGATTCGGAACTTTGGACATGGCATCTGCGTCCTCGGGTTTACGAAAAATGCGCTCTTGCACAACTCTAACCGAAGCTGGCATTTGCTTTTGCTAACCACCCATACACCCTTTAATCTCATGCAGCGGCTGGAACGCTAAGTCGTGCTCAGTGTGACGCGTTCTGCTCGGCTGACTTGCCAGGACGCGCCGGCAACCGCCTGGCCGCCGCCCGGCCCCGTGCGGCCCGTTGCCTGAGTCGTCGATCGACCGACCGCGCCACGGGTATCAGGGCCCGGCAAAACTCTCCTATTTTCTGACGAACGGTGAGTGAGGTTATGTTGCGTGCGTGCCTATCTAAAATAGCACATTTACCCTCATCGACTCTGTGTGAATGCTCCTCTGCTCGATGGCTGTCTCTCGATTGCACAACACCGTGGCTTTGCACGATAAGACCTCTCAAACGCAGCAGTGCCACCCAGTGCTCCTCGGCGAGGCAGAACAAGCAGAAACCAATCTGCGAAAGGCATAGTTGTACTGAAAAGAAACCAGGACAGGCCACATGATAGCCGTTACCGCGCGTGCACCGTCGGTCTGCTACCGCAGCAGCGGGACAGATTACACCCCTACCCTAAATAGCATGATGTCCGTGAAGTTAGGAAGTTATTCAGCGATTTATTCAGCGACGAGTTCCAACTTCGCTGAAAAAAAGGTTTCGAGGTGAACCATGGCACGACAACATCGAAAATAAACTTAATTTTTCAATACCATGTGAATATCGAAGTCAAAGGCCAGGTCGAAGGACAGGGAGCTCGATACCATCCAAAAATTACCGGCCGATTTGAAAACTGCAGGCATCATAATATTCACAAGCACGAGAGACAGCGTCCGTCAAAAGGTATGACCTTTCAAGGTCGCCCTTCAAGGTCAAACGCGGGCTCAGAGGACGGGGAACTTAATGCCACCCCAAAAGTACCGGCCGGTTTAAAACTTGCAAAAATCAAAATATTCGACACCGAGACAACTAACTCCGTCAAAAAGTAGTCACCTGTCAAGGCCATCCTTTAAGGTCAAATGCAGACTCAAAGGGCGAGGAATTCCATATCACTCAACAATTACCAGCCGAAAATTACTAGTTCCCGTCCTTTGGGCCCGCGTTTGACCTTGAAAGATCTCCTTGAGGGGTCAGGATTTTTCAATGGACGCTAGTCCTTTCTGTTGTAGATATTCTGTTGCTGGCGAGTTAAATCGGCCGCTAATTTGTGGGTGATGTTGAATTCCCGGTCCTTTGAGCCCGCATCTGACCTTGCAGGGTCACCTTAAGAGGTCAGAACACTTTTCGACGGACGCTAGTTCTTTCTGTGGTGAATTTTTGATGTTTGGAAGTTTAAAATTAGCCTGTAATTTTTGGACAATCTCCGTTACGTTCCCTATCCTTTGAGCTCGTGTTTGACCTTGAATGATGAATTTGGAGGTCAAGACGTTTCGACAGACGCTAGTTTTTTGCGCTTCTAAATATTCTAGTTCTGGCAAGTTTAAAACCGGCCAACAATTTTTGGGTGATACCAAGTTCCCCCTCCTTTGAGCCCGCGTTTGACCTTAAAAGGTCACTTTGAGAGGCCAGGGCTTTTTGACGGACGCTATTGCTGTCTGTAGTGAATGCTCTGGTTCTGGCAAGTTTAAAATCGGACGGTAATTTTTGGGTGATATCGAGTTCCGGGCCCTTTGAGCCTGATTTTGACCTTGAGGAATGACATTGAGAGGCCGCTACTTTGTGACACTACAGGTGACACTACTTTGTGATACTAAACAGGCACTAGTTTTTCTGTGTCGAATATTCTGGTGTTTGCAAGTAAAAATCGGCCGCCAAATTTTGGGTGATGTTGAGTTCCCCGTCCTATTGAGCCCGCGTTTGACATTGACGGTCACTTTGAGAGGTCAGGACTGTTTGACGGACGCTAGCTCTTGCGCTTGTGAATAGTTTGATGCTTACAGTTTTCAAATTGGCCGGTAATTTTTTGGTGACATCGTTTCCCCATCCTTTGACCCAGCTGTTGATCTCGAATGTCACATGATATTAAAAGTCATTTTCGATGTTCTCGTGCCATAATTCACCTAGAGTAGATTCTGACTTCGACTCCGTTCAGCAAAACACAAGTTTTGGTTCAGCTGCGATTGCGACTCGGGAAGACGAGGTTCAGAATCCCGATCCATAGGAGCCAATGCGTACGCTGTTCCTCGCATATCTGGTTGTATAAATTCATTGGTGGTTAAGCTGAGTCAACTCCAACTTTGATTCATGACCTTTTCCGGAGAAACCCGATCTATTCGACTCCACAAAACTTCAGACGCTTCCGGAGTCGATTTCGGCTCCACGCGGTGTCAACCACGAGTCTGGGAGAATTGGGGCAGAAGTACGCAGCCTTTCCGGGAGCGGGACGGTGTGGAAAAAATCGTCTTAACGCAAAGGTTTGGCGAATCAAACAACAGGCTAACAAGGAGAGGACGGAGGGAAGGTCTGTGTAAGCTGTGATAAGCGCACATCATCCTCACCAGACCTGTCACTGAGACACAGAACAGCACGCTCTCAATGGCGCACACCACCCGTGCCGAACCAGTTGCCGAAACACAGCGCAGCACGCTGTCAGGAGTGCGGACCATCCTCAGCAGACCTGTCACTGAGGCACAGCACAGCACGCTGTCAGGAGCGCGGACCATCCTCACCAAACTTGTCACTGAGACACAGCACAGCACGCTGTCAGGAGCGCACACCATCCGCCCCGACAGCCGTCGATGATAACGTGACATTGTGTTCTGCAGAGTCCCCGCCAACCACGTGGCATTTCAGACGCGCTGTTCGGGACGGGACCACCGAGCCGACCCGACCCAGTGCAGGAGCAGGCAGCGGCCAGCCTGCTGCCCAAATATATCCAGTGTTCACCACCGCGAGCCATCCGCCTTCTGGGCGGTGGTGGGCCGGCACTTCCCCTCCGGGAGGCAGCTCGGTAGACCGGGCACGCTCGAGTCCTGCCGGCGGCTGCCGTGTGAGCGAGGAGCAGCACGAATGCGGCCGTCCGATGGCCCAGGGCTCGTGCGGGCGACCTCGTCCGCAGCTGGTGGGGGGAATGCGACGCGTGACGCCATCTGCAGCCTTTCGACGCGGCTCCGGGGAGGGGATCGAAAAAGCTCAAATTTCCGCTGGACACGGTGTTTATGCGGGCTTTAGAACGCGCCGACTGTCCTGGTCCTATGGCGCTTATGACGCTGCCCGCGGAACGACTGGCGAGGGTCGTGACGTCATCGCCAGTAGCATGTGAGTCAGCTGCAGTGACATGGCATTCTTCTCCGCCGACGGCTAGCCGCAGCACGGCCTCCAGCAGGTACCTGGAGGTCGCACAAGCACTGCCCTATCAGCTGCAGTGACGCTACCTTCTGTCTGACGGCCAGCCGCAGCACGACCCCCAGCATGCTGCTGGTGTATTGCTCCACATACCGACGCTTCCTCACAAAGGCTCAAGGCCTTTCAAAGGCCCGTGCTTGCTCTATTTGAACCAACTGGACCTCAAACCGCTACCTGACACTTAGTAATATGCAACGGCGCAGGATTTCTGACCAACGCAGTCGCAGCCAAAGCGATAAGACGGCAGCTGTCTGTACAGACTACATTTGCGTTGGTCCCTTCTACGCGGATGCGACGACGCCGTGCGAAGCTGGCACATCCCACGGCTACTGTGAGAATCCAATGAGCGAATTGAGCACCAAGCGTACTGAGAAACAAATGAACGTTCGTCATGCCGAGCTTTCCAAAGGCGGGCGGGAGGAAAAACATCCGACGCGTTCCTTATCATATATATTTATAGCCATGGAGCGCGTGTTTGCGTACAAACGCTAGAATTGACGGACGATACGAGGCCACATCACCACGACCACCCTCGGCACGTGGCGAGCGAGCGCCTCGGCCTCGGCGAACAGCGAACCGGTCCTCACTACCCGCACAAACGCGCTCCTACCGACCGGCGCAAAACAAATCAACTAGAAATCGACGAATCGAAATTATCACATGCGTCATCGAGCGCGCGAGACTGCGCGGCGCCACATCTGAGCACTTTCTGACAAACCAAGGCTTGATAGTTGTTCGATAGGCATTTGCTCAGTACTCGACGGTGGCAGGAATGTTGAGATAAAGTGAGATAAGGGACGCACTCACTGGACCACATGAAGGCGAGGGAAGGCTCAAGATATGGCGAGGCGCGATAAAGGGAATGTCTGAAGATCGACAGACTCAGAGGTCACACCTATAGCTAAGTTAGCTCCGTAACACCCACACACGGCACAACACACACTGGTAGCGCCGGCACTGACAAAAGTCTAATAGGCGGGTACAGCAAACCAATTAGAACACAGGAGACTAGAAGTGTGTTGGCCAGGTGCCACACCCACTCATCACTGCTGCACCATCGATGTGCAGACGGCAAAGTGAACGCCCGCTAGTATGTACATCGCAGACCGACCGCTGATTAGAACCACGTTCAGCGAGCGCCTCCGCCGGCGCCCATATTGCGAGTGCACCAACATCACACGCGGCGATTCTATCCACGAGGGCGAGACCAGGGACAGCCCCCCCCCCCCCCACCTTCCCTTCCCTGCTGGCGACGAGACTGGCCAGCATGACTAGAGGTCGGCGGCGGGCTCTCCCCGCGCCGACCGCCTCAGTCTTGCGCGCGCCGGCCCGCCTCCACGCGTCCCCGTCGAGGGGTAATACTGACCCGACCGCCGCCTGGCGGCAGAGCGGCCCCCGGTCGGCGAGCTCCACCAGCCGGGGACGGGTCGCCGAGGGTGCTCCAAGGTCGACACGCGCTGCGGGGCACCGGCCAAGGCCCGCACCAGGCAGCCGCCGCGGCACCGACTCCCCCGGAGACCAGGCATGCCGGACTGTTTCTGCCAGCCGACGACGAGACGACCATTCGGCTGCTGAATTTGAAGCGGCACCGGACAATGCCTCTAAGCGTGTATCCCGAGACCCCACCGAACATAACGTGCACCCGAAGAAGGCATGCACGCGGAATTCCGGATCCCAATACGGCGCAGGCTGAGTGAAGGCGCGGGTCAGTCCCACGTCATCAAGCCAGTGCAACCAGTCCGGCACAGCGGACCCGTCCACCGGCGCCACCTGACTGACAGGTCACGCAGCCGGCAAGATTCTCGATAGGTGCTTGTTTTGGATCCTCGGCATTTTCAGGTGCTTGACCTAGGCACGGGTTCGCGACCTCTATCCAGCCGCGGTGCGACGCGAACGCCGGCCTACGTCGGAATCAGTCCGGCACTGTCGGCAAGGCCGGCGTCGACGACGGCGGTCCTGTCCGACACTAGCGCCGCGCAACGGACAGCTACTGCAGCCCGTAGCCTGGAAGGGGACGGAGGGGTCTGTCAGAGACACCAACCGGCTGTAAAAAAGACGACGCTGACACGACTTAACACTTAGAAGTGTTCACTGCGTCAATAAGCACGAAAGCGCTGACAAAAACACTAAAGAAAAACGCAGTAACACCAGATTACGATCCGTCCGGTACTGAAAGCCTTGGGGCACGGCTGACGGCCGGACTCTGGTCTCCTGATGACCGAATTAAGTGATGATTTTCTTGTCACATGCCAGATTGAGCCGTTGTTCAACGGTCACGACGACGTTTTTCAGTCACCAATCAACTACGCAGCGCTCGTCGCAGCTGTGGTGGCAGCATCAGCCAGCTGATCGCCAGCCCGTCCTCGCTATCTCAGACGGCATGCAAGCTGCGCTTGGCCAAACGACGGCCACATCTGGCCAGACGTGTGCCAGGCCGTCTGGTAGCCCATATTCCCGAAGACCTGCGGCGCCCATCCTCCTCACCGCCCCGACGGCACGTCCTGCCATCACTCGTGCTGACCACCGCCGACCCGAGCAGCGCGCCCCGGGCCTGGCCTGTGGTGGCCTCCCCTGTCCGCCCCGACGGCATGTCCCGCCATCATTCGCGCCGACCCGAGCAGCGCCGCCACCGGCCTGCCCGTCCTGACGGCATGTCCCGCCATCACCCGCGCCGATCCGAGCAGCGCCCCCGGGCCTGACCTGTGGTGGCCTCCTCCGCCCGCCCTGACGGCATGTCCCACCATCACCCGCGCCGACCCGAGCAGCGCGCCCCCGGGCCTGACCTGTGGTGGCCTCGGCCGCCGGAGCCGGCGCCGGCGCCGCCATGGCGAACGGGTTGTTAGGGTTGGCCGACTGGTGCGGCTGACTCTGGTTGGCCGACGGCGGCGGCGGCATGGCGAACGCCTGCGGCTGGCTGGTGACCGGCTCGCCGGCGCCGGCGGCTGCCTCGCGCTCCGGACTGCCCGCCTCCAGGTCGAACTCCTCGTCGCCGTCTCCCTGGCGGCACCACCGAGCGGCATAGTCACCCCACGCCACAGTCACGACCATCGGCGCCCCGGCGGCCGGAAACAAGAATGCCAGCCGTGACGCGATCAGTGCAGGCGACTACGGCCACCAGAGCGAGCGCCGGTGGCATCTACAACGCAACGTCCGAAAACCATGCACAGGCAGCCGAATCAAAGGAAACCAAAACATGCAAACTGAACGCCAGCCTCGCCCTCTGAACTCATCTACACGCGGAGCCACAACGCGTCCCACACTGCCTCGGGCGGGCGGCTCTTGTCCAGTCCAGCGGAGGCGCCTCCGCCGACCGGCGCCCCGCGCCACCGTGACCTACCTCGCCGCGGACGGGCCCAGCCGAGGTCGGCTGGGAGGTCACCACTGCAGGGTCGTCGGGCTGGCGGCACAGGTGGCGTGCTCAGGGACGCGCCGCACGCTGCGGACCGGCTCATGCGAGCCGCGCGCGGGCCGCGGCGAGGCCAGCCAGCGCTCCGGCGGCGCCGGGCACACACGCCACCGCGTGCGGGGCCAAACGGAAACGGTGCGGCAGGCGGGGCGGGCTCGACTACGCACAAAATCTGTGCACGAAACGCGGATGCACAGGCACGCATGTAAACACGGGGAGGGATGCTTGCCACGTCTAAAATGCCAGGCGGGAGGGGGAGGGGGTCGACGACGACTAAAGCACGGCCGGCCAGGGGAAGCGTGCACCAGAGGACATTATATGAACGTGCAGCGCCAGAGACCCGGCTGGCCAGTTTACCTGTGGAGCCGCACGCTGGCCGTAACGTTAAACGGTGACGTAAGCGCCTCCAGGGATGGGGCACATTCAACTTCAATGATCTACGATCTTCCAACCGTTACCGCCTCTTAAAGCAGCAACCATATGGTTTCGGCCTCACGTGCCTCTGGTTACGCATAGCAGTTTGTAAGCAAGACATGATACCTCGATCGGAAGTTAATCACTTGTGACTGACGGAGACAGGATCTAAATCCAAGAAAACCTAAATCCCGCCATTCGCCAATGACATCGACCTTCATAAGAACACACAACACCGCCCGCCAATAATACCACACGACTGACCAAACGAGTCTATGCGTGGGCTACGACTTAACAAGCTCGGAGGACACGGCAAAGATTTCAGAGCCTTTCACAGCTTCAAACGGAGACCGCCCGATCTCCGAGAACCGCGCCGCCGCTTCCCACACCAAGGTCGCACCCGCGCCGGACAGTGCGCCACAGCGTATCGGGACAAGCGAGGGGGGACAACATGCCACTCACGTTGAGGTTGTGGTAGGCGCCGGACTCGTCGGGCGCGGCCGGCCGACACTTCCCGCAGCAGAAGTTGCAGCAGCAGCAGAAGCAGCAGCAGAGGTAGCAGCCGGTGATGACGCCGCAGAAGATGAAGAGCGCGCGGCACCAGCCGGACGTCACCAGGAAGTAGGTGTTGACGTTCTCCTCGCCGAACTGCTCGGCGATGTACAAGCCGAGGGAGCCGTAGTTGTCGTAGATGTTGCGTTTGATCGAGTCGCTGAGCGTGGCGTGCGCCCGGTTGATGTCTTTGAACTGGAACGCAATGGCGGGTCAAGACTCGGCCTGACTGCTGCATACCGGGTCACCCGAGGATCGATGATCACGTGGGAGCGTGACAAGACAGCAGCGATGGACACTGAGGGTTCAGCTCATCATGAGATATTACCCATCTGTTTATGATCATATGGGATGTTTGGTCGATAGCACTAATTAGTTGACTGCCACCACTAGCTGACCAGGCATGGAAGCCTTGCCTTTCCTACCAACTAGCACTTGCCAGTTCATACACAGTGAAATAGTGAAATAGATACAGTGAACACATGTTAAAATGACAAAAGATGTCACCTTTTCAGCTGCTTCTGGATTGTCTGGATTTTTGTCAGGATGATACTTCAGGGCCAGTCTCCTATATGTCTTCTTGATTTCCTCCTGGGTGGCTGTTTTGGGTAAGCCTAGGAGTTCATACAAGGAGTCCCCCTGTGTTCTGAAAACATGACAGCACCTGCTAGTGGCAAAAATTGCTCTTCATCACAAGTCACAAATCACTAGATGTAATGACATCATGTATATATATATATATATATATATATATATATATATATATATATATACATATTTGTACATATATGTCAAGTAATTTTGCATGCATGTCCTTGAGCACATGCAAAAGTACTCTACTAAGCTAACCCCAATGCCATGGCAGGCTCAAACAATGCCTTTCATGGGCCGAATAAGGACCAAATGTTTGGCCTGATGAAACCAGGGTTGGTATATGATGGCAGAAGCTGTTTCTGCAAGGTGATTTATCTTTCACAAACTGGCTGGTAGGAACCACTGATACCAAAACTGGCAGAAACTGGCATGCTTGAGGAATAATTTTAGCATGACTGCAATCAATATAAAACATCAAATATCATATTACAGACAAACAGCTCTACTGGTATGTGACAAAATGAGGACACATGTAAAAAGCTTAAGAGGTACTCCTGGTATAACATGACTACACCACAAGAGCTATGCAAGAAGAAGAATTGCTGACAAAGGTACATGCCAGCTATTAGGTAACAAAGGTGTATGGTACACACAATGCGTACCTTACCAATTATGAGAGAAATCAACATTTCAAAATCTCAAAGACCATGGAAGTTCACGTCATACATATAATTATATCCACATCATAGTGAATCCATGCATTAGCATATATAGAATATCCACACACTGGGTAGCCTGGCACCAGATAAAGCACCATATCCCTTAATCAATGATCAAAGCATTAAGTTATTAATAATCATGGTTCAGAAGTGAAATGGTCATTCTGGCAGGTACAATTTTTGTGGTATTGTTGTGACATAAATCTCTTGTTTTGAGTTGACTGAGAGGGAATACATTGATAAGGAAGAAAATAGTTTCAACTTCCTGAAATGCCAAACCCACAATAAAACATTTCAGGGTTTGAAGACCAGCATGATTTAAAACATAATTAAAACTTTAAAATATCAACATTGAAACTTTTACAAATGAGAAGCAATTGTCTAGATCATTTTTTAATCCTCAAGCTTAGCCTCTACAAAAATTGTTTAACAGGGGTGATAAACATTGAACATAATCCTGTACCTGTCAATAGCCTTTTTACTTGAGGTATGCAGGCATTAAGATTGGGATAGGCCTTGTTTGACTTAAATGCATATTTCATGGTGACTAGAAGTGAAACTAAATAAAACACTATGCATCAAATTCACTAAATAGCAGTCTTTGCAAATTTGTGTTGCCTGCTTTGGGCCATTCCTTGCATAACTTTACATTTAGGCATGCCATCCTAAGTAGAATAGGAAAGTTACACTTTGAGAACAAATCCCAATCTGCAGCTGCCTAAGCCAAGGATTCCTTTAAGTACCTGCTTACCCAGCACAACACATCTGTTGTTCCCAAATTATCCTCAGCTTACATCAATACATTAATGAAAAAGAAAACATTAGCCACACACAGGCTCAGCAAAGCCAAATCAGTGCCGGACTCCTGGTCAACCAACATGGCTGCATAAAGCCACAATGAGTTGCAATATCTGGGAGCAATGTCTAATCACAAAAAAAACGAGAGGACCTTATCCGGCAAACTAATTGAGGCCCAGCATCATCGCTCGACATCTCCAGGATCCTCGTTAAGCCAGGTAAGATTCGAACGAATACTTACGACAGCTTCCTTTTGTCCATATTGCTAATTATCGGGCACTTAACCCAACAAAGCTAAGGGACAAGGGGGCAACCCCTGAGCCTAAGGACTTAACGAACGGAATTATCAAATTGTAAGATAGATCGTCGCCGGTCATGAGCCCATCCCTCGAACGCTCGGCACAAATGCACAGCCCAAGACTACAGCGCGCCGCAATTGTAGTTTTCGCCAGCTGATCGATGAAATAGTTTGCATATAGACCGGTAGGTGTCCAGTACCCTAATAGCAGAAGCGTTTGGGTGGAGACTCCAGTTCTGTGACGGGAAGAATTGTCACGCCCCAATATTTGGTCAAATTTAGCATAAAGCCTGACTGATGCATTGAAGGAAGCTATTTCAAGCACATCTGAGCTCCCGATAATGGATAAGTTGCACCAGCAATAAGCAGAGCCCAGTGCATCCTGCACAGAACTCCCCATTCTACGAAGGAACGGAGTTATCAGATACTTAACAGGCTGGGCCTCACATCTGTTTAAAACGTTCAAGGGAAGATATAAAAAATTATTACTGCGCTTAAGATCACAAATGGGCACGCCAAAAGCTACGATCCTTTGGCGTCGATCCTGAATAAAGGTTCATGCTGATGCTGCCCCGTCGTCCACAGCACGCACTCTATCCGTGCAGTCGGAATGGCTCGATGGCGAGCCACTAAACGACATGACGTGGGAATTCTGTCTCCGGTTCACACTTGACGCAAAATGATCGCTAAACGCGTGATGACGGGCCCGGATGGAGGACATCGCACGTATTCGTCCGCCCACACCTATGCGTTCCTGAACGCCCCCGAACAACTCGAAGTCTAGTACTGTGAGCTGGTTGGCGCTAGTTCAGGAAACGTTCTTAAGCTTCCTGAATCGGGAGTTCGCCTTTCACGCCCAGCCTGCCAGATTTCGCAGTTTCCGTGCAAACTGTGCCGGTCTCGTCGCACTCAACTAAATTCGAAATATTCGACTACGCTCGCCACTCATCCTCGGCATCCCGGCCAATTAGGCCATAACACATCAGTATGAATCAGGTATATATTTTCATGTCATATCCCATTATTATAATATTCGGTTCACGTCAATGATATACAGCCATAACTGTAGGCATACACAATGCGTTACGATTGGTGAGGCATTCTTTACACGCATATGTATACAGAACACTCACAAACACAGGCATTCCAACACATTGATCAGTACATTTCATTCTTCGAAAAGCGCAAGCGCAATCAGTGGTATCAGTGACAGGCATTCCTGTTCTCGATCTCGACTCTTTGCTTCAAAAAGAGGAGAGAAAACGTGCGTTGCAGCCCACGGCCTCAGCACAAGCCAATGGCAAGCCACTATCTCCTTGAGAACACCTGGATTTTGATTATGCAGTAGCGGCAGGAGCGCACGAAGACGCGAAGAAATCACACTCGGCTGATTTCAGCCATGCTACGGGACTGGCAACACGACATAAATAAATAACTGGGGGATCGGAAGCAACGACATGGCTCGTGGGCGCGCTCGGCGTGCGCCCAAACTTTCGAAGCGTGACGGTGCGGTGCCTGAGGATCAAGGAAATAAGTGAGGGGGCGTACAATCATGGGCTGTGTTAGTGTGGGCCTACACACGCACCACGGCCGCGTGCCGCGGCCGTGGGTTTGTACAAGCGAACTCGACAAAACAATCGACAGAACCAGCCGCGCCGTCGGCGGCGCGCGCGCCCCGCAAGGCAGCTCATCACAGCTCAGCTCGGGAGACCTCCCCTCGCGGCTACCCATGGACCGGCCCATGCATTACTGCGACAGCGCCGCCCGGCCGAGTCCACTCTAAGGACGAGGTAAACTTTCCCGCACAGGGGTATCACAGTAATGCATGTGGCGGTGGCCGGGTGGCGGCCGTGTTCAGTGGCGGCGGCCGGCGCGTCACGCGTCCGACTCTCGCGCGCCGTTCAGCCGCGGCCGCAGATCCGGGTCTGAGCTGACCGACAGCGGCGACAGGGGGGACGACACCGAGCCGGCCGACCTGCTGGGACACGAGCACGGTCAGCGGAGGCCGGCGCAGCACCAGCACGCGACGTAAGACTCCAACGTCGCGTCACAATGCCCAGTGGCTCAGTGCCTTCCTTTTGCAATTCACACGCTCTTGAGCGTGGGATAAAGCAAACGCTTCAAGTGGGCAGACCATAACAAAGAAAGCTAACTATATGCTGCCGACAAATCGACTTTCCTGACCACCTCCCGCTCCCACGTGTCCTCGGCCCCGATGTGTTGGCCCGCCGTGCCCTCACCTTCTATCCAGGTCGATCTTGAGCGGCGTGCCGTTGCTGGCGGCGGCGCGGCCCGCCTGGCCGCCGGGCATGTGCGCCGACAGGAAGCTGTCCAGGTCCTCGTCCGAGTCCGAGCCGGCATCCGAGTCGCTCGGCTCGCTGTCCAGGTCACCCTGCGGCCGAGCGCCGGGGTCACGTCAGGTCACCGGTCACGGGTCACGTGGGCCGCGCGGCACACGCTCAGACAGGCCACCGGTGAACGCTGCCACGTGCATCGAGCGACAATGCCAGCTCCTGAAGACGGTAGATTAGCCAACTCGACGAGACATTGAGTCTACATATTGGGTAATCGCACGTAGCTCTCACACCAAAACGTAAAATAACGACACTCAGAGCCATCTGTGGCCTAAGGCATACCGCCGTCACACTTTCAACCACATTCCCAGCGCCTTCCGTAATTTCCACAATTCCCAACCCAACAGCGACCAGCACGCAAGCACCCCACCGCCATCTCCATCAACCGCTTCCCGGCGGCCGTCCGCACCTGCATGGCGTTCTGCAGGTCGCCGATGCGTTTGAAGGCGAGCTTGAGGTCGCCGCGCGCCTGGGAAGCCTCGGCCTCAGCCGTCTCCAGCTCCTTGGCCAGCGAGCGGGCCTGCAGCACGGCGTCCGACTCCTTCCGCTGCGCCTCCGACAGCTCGTCCTTGCTTTCGCGCAGCTGGCGGAACGCGGGCGGCGTCAGACAGAGGCATGACAGACGGGTCATGACCGGCAACTGTCACCGTGGTGGCCGTGCGAGCGCACGGGAGTCGATGGCGTGAGCAACGGAGACCGCTTGGTGCAGGCCCGGGGTACAAGTATGCGGACGTTCCAAGATGCACTCTCAATCACCACAAACGATGGTCCTTATCACAAAACGCTGACACAAACATGGAACCAGGCCGCCATCACATATTTCACGATAAAACACACCACGGAGGGAAATCACACGCCGTTTGTGTAGCACCACGGCGCCATTCACAACCCACGTCTGAACGATCGGTCACCGTGCCCCACCTGCCACCAAATTGGCTCTCACATCAGGCAGCTGCCGTCACTACGCACCAAGGGTACCGTTTGACCGCCGCTTGAGCGGTGGCCGGACTGCCCCTCGCCTGTCATTTCACCCGTCTCCCAACATCTCCAATCGCCCTCAGCCGTCGCTCCGACAGTCCCCGTCCCACCTACCCAGCTGCAGCCGTCACATGTCGCTCAGGCAGTCTCTCGCCGCCAGCCGCAGCCCTCACCTGTCGCTGCAGCTTGCGCAGGTTGTCGGCGGCCACCTGTTCGCGCTGGCGCGCCTGGTCCGCCTCGCCGCCGGCCTTCTCGATGGCCTCCTTCAGCCGCGCCAGCTGCGTCTCCAGCCGCTGCTTGGTGGTCTGCTCGTACTCGCAGCGGCTCTCCAGCTCGCGCACGCGCAGCTCCAGCCGGCGCTGGTCGTGCGCCGAGGCCGTCTCGCCCTCCAGCGCGTCCAGCCGGCTGGCCTTCTCGGCCAGCTGCTCGCGCAACAGGGCGCGCTCGGCCTCCAGCTCGGTCAGCTGGCTCGCCTGGTCCTGCAGCGTCAGCTGGTCGACGCTCAGCTGCGCCACGGCCGCCTTGTACTTCTTCATCACCTGGTGAAGGCCCATGGCCGGTCAGACGGCGGAGCGGCCGGCCCGACGCATGACGTCACCGAGGTGACGTCACACCTGTACGACGGTCTTCGGCTATCGCGCCGTCAGTAGGCGCGCTCAGCGCTCACCCTGACTCACGCACGAAAGGCGCGATACTCCACTGCAGGGTTCTCATAACGCCCATCACAGGGTATATCTCGATGCACTGCTCTAGTGTAGTGCATACAGACGGCCTGTGACGCAGCATTGCCTGCCACCCTTCAGTCTTTCTACTCGTCCCGAAGGTTCGCCACAAACCGCTATGAAAACCACAGCCCCGCAAAGCCAACACGCGAGCAAACGGCCATCTGCGCCCCTCTCGCCGGTGACACCCAGCCGGCTGCCCACGTGACTCACCTCCTGCAGCTCCTCCTCCTGCTCGTCCACCTGGCCCTGCAGCTGGTGCAGCTCGCGGCTGGCGGTCAGGTAGCGCGTCTCGCTGTCGGTGCGCGCGCGCTGCGCCTCCTCCAGCAGGGTCTGCGTGTCCTGTAGCTCCTGCGCCAGCGACTGGCGCGCCTTCACCGCCGCGCCCTGCGCGAACTCGGCATCCTCCAGCTGGCGGAGACGACGCGTCACACGTGAACAGCGCGGGCAACAGGAACAGAAGCCACACGCCCACGCTCGTGAACTGTCATGAGCAAAACGACCATCAGAAATGTGACCAAACTTGGATGCAGACGAACTTCAAAATCATACCGCAATGAACACCACAGAAGCGGCGGCACGATTTCTTCGCCAACCGTCATAAGCTGGATCAAACGCTGATGAGCTGGTTCTACATTAAGCTTCAGTCCAATTCACGCTCGTGGCAATACTCGAACGAAATGGCCATGCTGTGCACGCCTATTGTCTGCTCCTATAATAAATCCACACGAGTCCCCTTAGAGCACGCACCTGGTTCTTCAGCTGTCGGATCTGCACTTTGCTGGACGCCTCGGAGCGGGCCTTCTCCAGCTGCGCCTGCGTGTCCTTGAGCAGGGCGCGCGTGCGCTTGAGGTCCCGCTTCAGCTTGAGGATGGCCTCCTGGTCGTCCTGACTGATGGTGTGCTCGTTGAGCGCGATGATGCGTCGCTCCAGCTCGTGCTTCTCGCGCACCAGCGCCGTGCGCTCCTCGTGCTCCGTCTCCAGCTGGGACTCGAGCCCTGCCGAGGCCAGGACAGCGGTCGAGCATGCGCACGGGACACCGTCCTGAGGTGCACGGCGGTCGGACGGATCACGCAGCCGAACCGGTCGGCGGCTACGGTTAGCGGATTAACAACGGCTGTTGGCATAGGGCGCGACGACAATGCGAGGAAAAATACCCGTTGACCGTACAGAGCCAGACACATTGAGCGCGCAGGCTCAACGAGTATCCAAAACGGGTAGGCACGGCACAATATTGCAGATGGTGCAGACTTAGCAAGCTATACGACTGTTGGCAAGCTCTAATACCTAACTTAGACGCCGTATTCTGGTGGCGCGAGACGTTGTCCAATTACGGTAGGCATGTTGATGACTAATGGGAATCACAAACACGTTATGAAATACATAATACCACTGAGACAACCACCAATCACTTTCAAGCAATAGACGGCCCACATGCTACCACTCACTCACTTCACTCGCAACTCCAAACCAAAGCCAACCCGCCGTCGGCCGGGGTCGTACCTTTGAGCTTTTTGCTGGCGTTGGCGCGCACCTCCTCGGCCTCCTCGTCCTTCTGGGCGATCTCGCGGCGGTGCTCCTTGCGCACCTGCTCCAGACTCATCTCCAGCCGGAGCTTGGCCTGCTCGAGCAGGCTGACCTGGCCGGCCAGGTCGTCCAGCTCCTCCTCCTGCTCCTGGCACTTGTGCTGCAGGTCGAGCCGCGAGCGGCGCAGCGCCGCCACCTCGTCCTCAGAGCCGGCCGACGAGCCGAGCTCGTCCAGCTCCCGGCGCAGCGACTGCACCTTCTCCTCCTGCATCTCCAGCTCCAGACGCATGGCCTGCCGGAGCGCGCAGCGGACGACGGAGGTCAGCGCGGCGCGGCGACAGGCTCGCTGACTTGCCGTGGCGACGGAGCACGCCACCCACAGAGCGGCAATGGCAAACTGTGACCGAAGTTCACTACACATGTCAACAGAGACAAACACAACGTGACGTACCGACGACAGGGGAGGACAGCTTAAACAACGCTAAATCGGAAGTAATCAAACTTCAAACAGGCGAAGAAATGCGCGCTCCCCTGGCGATACGTCACCAGCCAAACGCGGCGGCACACCCGGCCGTGCCAGCGCCGCCGTCAGTCAGCCATGACGCGCAGAAGCGCCTCCCAAAAGCAGCCGACCGACTCACGCGCACACCCCTACTCGACGCGATACCGGCGCTTCCGCTGCGCCCCGACGCGAACGCTTCCGCTCGGCGCAGCGCCACCACCGGCCCGCCTCGGCTCCGTCCCCCAGCGACGAGCGGCGGCCGCAGACGGTATCGGCTCGGGACGGGGGCGGCTGCCGGCGTGCAGACCGGGCAGGGGAGCGGCGACTGACAAAGCCGTCCCCGCTGATGCTATCTGGCTGCAAGCCACTCAGGCTCGGACACAGGTGCTGGAGGCTGCGACCGCCAGGTGCGCAAACGGCGACACGCGACGAACTCTTATCGGTCACGACTGCCAGGGCGCTGTGGTAGGTGGCATTGTCTCGTTCGACCGGTTCGATCCTATAATCACGTACAGCACAAATAAACCCAACTGGTATATCCTGTCAGGCTCTGCCCAATATTAGCCAATCATATCCGACGGACATAAACAAGCACCTTCCTTGGCCTGCGACGCCGACGTCTACGCGCTGTTCCGCAAGACTCGATCTAAGTCCGCAGTTAGAAGAAGGCTTTATAAACATGTCGTGGTTCACTACAGCAGGCTAGCACTGGCCGCGCTGAACAGCTGAAGCGGCGCTGATGTGGAGATTGAACGCCCCGTCCCCCGTTCAAGCCACGTCAGGCGTCTCATCGCCATACCACAGATTCTCTCCACGCGGCGGACCGGAAAACCAGCCATGCGCGCCGTCTCGGGGAGACGCCGGGCGCCGCCCGCCCTCGTCATGAACCTGCTCTCTCTCCGCTCCGTCACGACGCTGCCTCCACCTCCCGGCCGGCTGCAACCGATCATCCCTACCGCACGACATCCGCCACACACCGACAAGCGCGGCCCGGGCGTCCACCTGCGCGCGCGCCGCACCGTGCTCGGTCCCGCGGGCACGAAGGCTGACAACTTTCGCGCGTCTGGCGACGCCTCGCGTGCTTTGCGAAGGCCGGCGCCCGGCCGGCGGGACTCGGGGCCCGCCGTGGTCGGTGACGGCGAGCCTCGCGGCGAGGGTCCCAGCGGTCCGAGGCTCCAATGGTGTCCAGCGGTGTTCAGCGCCCGACTGGCGACCCCCGGAAGCGGGAGACGGCCGCGGCGACGCCTCACAGGGCGAGGCGGTAGCACGCCGGGCCCGAGGAGTGGGCTGTGTCCCTCGCAGGGGGTTTTCGTGACTCGATTCAGCGGCAAAAGTGCGGACGACTGTCCCAGGAGCTATGGGCGCGGCTCTGGGCGGCGGCGGCATAGAACAATCATTCTTCAAGTCAAATTGCTTTTATGGCGGTCATTTACGCGATCAAGTCGCCAAAAAATTCGCTTCAAGAACCAGCCGCCAGCTTAACCATCAATGCGGCCTTGTATCATAAATACCGCGGAGCAATAATGACTATTTATGACACATTCCGAGACATAAATAACTGGCATGCCACAGGCGACTGACTGCCTAGCATGATAATTCATGGGAATCCGAGGAAAACGTGATGCATTTCTGGCGAGGGAACGCCGCCAGGTTTCCCACAATGGCTTTCTCTCCGTCTCCTGAGCTGGCTCGTCAGTCACGGATAATTCCAGTGTACGCGACTGGCGGTCGGCGGCCGCGGCGCCGGCCACAGCCCACGGCGCGAACATCGCAGTTTGGGGCGTGCCGCCCTGTCTCACGAGGCAGGCAAGGTCAAGTCGGGCCGCCGGGTCCCCGCCCCCGCACCCTGGCGTGATTCACCGCCGTCTTCCCAGGTGGCAGCAGCGCTGCGTAACCCCAGCCGCGCGGCTAATTTTTAACGCGCGCGTGCCGGCTGCGCCGGGTCTGAGAGCGCACGTGGCTCCGACATCGGATCTCCCGTGTTTGGCGCAGCGGCAGCGGCGGTGGCGGCAGCGGTGTAGATCGAGCCAGCGCCAGACGGCGAACAGGCGTGAGCACCGACCGCGCCGGGCCCGGGCCGCGCCGGCCACCACGCCACCGCCGCCGCCGGCCGGGTCCCGTCGGGGCTCACGAGATCAGCAGCGCTCAGGACACAAGCGCCGCGCCCCCTCCCCCCGCCTCCCTCCGCGACCGGCGTTCGCGGGCCGCCGCCGCCGCCAGCCGGCGATAAGCCGCCGTCCCGAGCGGCCTTCTGACGGCTCTCGGCGCGGCGGATCTCACGCTCGTCAGGCGCGAGCGCCTCGCGTGCGTGCGGCGCGTAAGCGGCCAGGCGAGCGCCGCGCCAAACGAGCCACGCGGGGACCTCACCGCGACGCAGCCGCTGAAGCGCACTGACACGGATGCCGCCAAGGTTTTCCTGGCTGGATCAGCGCCAGCCAAAATTTCGGCCTTCTTACTGCCAGGACGGAACGATTAGCGGCGACTGTCCAGACAGGTTACCTTCATTTTAGCATTGCCATTCACATGCGGGTGCAATATCACGATGCCACACGTGACGTTGTTAAGCCCGCCACCTCCCTCATGTGGCCGCCCTTCGCCTCCTCCCACCTGCGGCTCTTCGAGCGACCCGTCCGGTCCGCCCGTCGACGTACCTTGCTCTCGCCCGGCCCCCGCCGCTCTGTCTCCGCGCGCCGCCCTCTCGCTCCCGGAGCGCGGTCGCCGTCCACCGTTATCTGGCAATTACGGCCGCCGCCGGAACGCAGAGCCAACAGCGCGGCGCCGCGATAGACCGGCGCCGGCCCGCAGGACGCCACTGTGCGGCGCCGCGGCGGCCGTCGCCTCCACGCCGACTGCTGAGGCGCCGCAGATGGCGCGCTGATCTGGCGATGGCCGCCGACGGCACCCTTCCGTGTTACCGTAACACTTGCAGTGTCCGCTTATGGGCGCACTGTGGACTAGCGGTCGGCGCACCCTCAAAACGCGACCGCTATCGGTGGCGTCAGCTGACGTGCCCCGGACGAAAAGTGTCCGTCAAAGGTACACTTTGCCGGGCCCGGAGCGTTTTTTCGACGGGTTGCGAGCGTGTGGGCGCTAGATTATACGGGCGCCGTTGCCACCCGGCGGGGTGCCCTCCATTCAGGGCCCGCCCCGCTGACGGGCGAACCGGTCGGTCACCGGGCGGTGTCCAAGGCCGGCGCCGTCGACCCGGGGCCCTCCAGCCTGGCACCGGGGCGCCGCACCCTACGTGAGGCCACCGGGGCCCCTCGTCACGCACTCGGGCAGAGCACCGAGCCCTACAACACGGTCGGCGTGGTCGACCCGGGCCCTCCCGCCCGGCACCGGGACATAGCGCCGCACACCGCATCAGGGTCGACCCTGGCCCCATTGCCCGGCGATGCGGTACCGCAGTACAATCAACACCAATGCGACGCTGAGAGGGGGCTTGCCGCGCCGGACTAAGCAACATACGGCGTACGATAGGGCTCGGCAGGCCGCACCAACGCCAAATAGCGACAGACGCACAGGCGTCGCACGGCACAGAGGCAGTGCGTGTCCGTATGCCGGCGCCGTCCGTCGCCGCGCCAGTGACACCCGCCTCTACGTTGCGACCGCGCGGGCTCAGGACCGGCCCGCCGCCGACTGCCTGGCTCCCATATGGCGACAGCGGCGCTCGGGGCCAAAGTGGAGCCGTGACGCCATCTCGTCCGGCCCGCCGAGCCGGCAGCGGCCCAGCGCGGTCCTCGACTCGGCCATCGGCCGCGCACCATCTGCGTGACAGGACCTGCCCGCCCCCGCCGACGGCCGCGGTCGCGCCGGAGCGCGGCCCGCCACAGGCCCGGCCGCCACGGCGCACCAGGTGCCGCCGCCGCCTCCGCCGCCGTCTCCGAGCCGGGGCCAAACGTGGCGATAGGCGGCCGCACCCTCAAGCGCCCTCGTCTCCGCGGCATAGCTTCCCCGAACCGCCTGACGCCGCGCCCCGATCGGCAGCGAAGCGCGGGGCGCGTCGAGCTGCTCCAGCAGCCGTCTCGTCGCCTGCGCTTCCCCGAACGCGCTTACGCCAGTAGCAGGCCGGGTTCCAGGTGCGTCCGAGCGCCGGAGCTGCCGCGCCGGCGAGGCTCGTTCCCCGAAGCCGGCTGCGGGACAGCGCGGTGATGACGGGCCGGCCTGCCCGCTGCTTCGCTGAAGTCCGGCCCCGGCGCATGCTGATCGCCGACGCCGAGCACAGCCCCGCCCCCTCCCCCCCCCCGCGCTCACCGCTCCCCGGCACTCCCGCCGCAGTGCTCAGCATGGAGCCCGACAGTTGTGGCAGAGGAAGCGGTGAGTCAGCGGAGGCGGCGCCCGCTTTCGGTGACGCATCGCCTGCCGTGTACGAACGGGGCCCGGGCTGCTGAAGCCGGGCGTCCTGCCGCCCGGCGGGCCGGCACACCAGGCGTTACGCGAGACGCAAAGTGCTGAGGTGGCGGACACCGGCCCCCCGCCGCCGGCGCAGTTTCAACCAGTAACCGACCAAGACCCAGTCCTCACTTATCGCGACGACAAAAAACCTGCCACAAAAAACAACACAAGACAGCTAATAGCCGGCCGACGCCGCAGGACCGGCACCAGCACCGCTTTTCCCGCCACGCACGGAGCCGTCCGGCGCGCGGCGGGGCGCCCGCCGCGCGCTGCTGCCCGACCCGCCCCGTGAAATGCGACAGCGGCAGGTCCCGCCGGGCCGCCGCCCACGGTCCGCCGCAGGCAGGCGCCGTACACGACTCAGGGCCGGCTAATGGCGCCGGCGGCGGGCCGGG